TGCATTACAATGCTAATCAATTGATACACAAAACTAATGTAATCCGGTTTCAGCCGCCTTAAAAACAATAAAGCTGTAGAGTATCACCTGATAATTAAGATTTCACATAGAATCTTACACTGGTTCTAATACTTTGGCCAGGGACTGGGACAGTAATTTACGAATGATAAATGCTTTAACTCCATCGCATTTTCAAGTTTCTTAGTCTGATTTTCATTGCGCAACTAAAAATGTAACGTAAAATTGTACACCCAAAGTAGCAACGGCGGAGGCGGCATTTACTATTTTTTAATATAGAAAGATCTAAATTATAATTGAAATAGGCACCCAAAAGAAACCTGAAACGATAAGTGTAAAAAAGAACTTGGTAGGGTAGGAAGAAAAAGGGGGGTGGTTGGGCGCGGTTGATCGCTTTTTTTGAAATGAAATCGAAGTTGTTTGGTCACCTTTCTCTTACAAATAATCCTCTTGGAATAAAAACCTACCTCATTAGGTCAGTGTAACTAGTTGATCTAAATGTATCGAGTAAGAGAAACTGCTCTCTCCAAATAGAAAGAAAAATGATAATTTGTTATTGGATATTCTTATCAGTTTTCATAGAAAGTCTGTGTTTAATAGGTGAGTCTGGAATTCGTGTTTTTTTTTATCACTCTTCAATTTTATATGGTATATAGAGATAAATAACAATAAATGTTTCGAAATATTTAGACTGTGAAAATAATCTTTGTTTCATATAACTCTTCTATTTTTATATGGCATATATATAGGGATCCAAAAATAACAAATGTTTTGAAACATTTAGTCTGTAAAAATAATCTTTGCTTCATATAACTCTTCTATTTTATATGGCATATATATAGAGATCCAAAAATAAGAAATATTTTGAAACATTTAGTCTGTGAAAATAATCTTTGCTCCATATAACTCTTCTATTTTATATGGCATATATATAGGGATCCAAAAATAAGAAATATTTTGAAACATTTAGTCTGTAAAAATAATCTTTGCTCCATATAACTCTTCTATTTTATAGGGCATATATATAGGGATCCAAAAATAACAAATGTTTTGAAACATTTAGTCTGTAAAAAATAATCTTTGCTCCATATAACTCTTCTATTTTATATGGCATATATATAGGGATCCAAAAATAACAAATGTTTTGAAAAATTTAGTCTGTAAAAATAATCTTTGTTTCATAATATAACTCTTCTATTCTATAAGGTATATATAGAGGAATCCGAAAATAGCATTAAATGTTTTAAAACATTTAGTCTGTAAAAGTAATTCTTGTTTCATGTAACTCTTCTATTTTATATGATATTTATAGAAGATCAATGAATAGCAATAGGTGTTTTCAAATATTTAGTCTGTAAAAGTAATCATATAAATATTCTATTTTATATTATATATAGAGAGAGAGAGGAATCCAAAAATGTTAGGCGTTATGAAATATTTTTTTGGTTTTTGAAAACTGCTCAGTTTGATAACTGAACAAAATTATATTATTGATCTGAAAATTTTTTTGCTATTTTGTTACTTTCTTGTTTTGCGTTTTATTTTTAATTATGTCACTAATTATTTATTTATTTATGCCCACTTTTATCCTTTTTCAATGATTTTAAACAAAAATAACTTTTTTTTTTCAAATTACCTTTCTTTGAAAACTCATTTTTTTTAGCAAAATTTATACATGAAATAAATATTAATATTGATTTTAATGTTTTTTACATTTTGGGTACTTTACAAATTAATCTGTTTCTCTTTATTCTTATTTTGGAAACTGAATCCCAAAACAGGGAAATTGAGTTTTGTTCCTCAAAAATGAAGCAAAATAACTTAGTCGGTAACAGAACCAAGTATATCTTATATACAAAACTTATACTGTAATTTTTAATCTTAATTTATTCACGACGAACGAACACAAAATATACGTTCTCTTACCATTAACATTTACACATACATTTTTTTGTTGACAGATTGCGAATTTTGGCATTCTAAATATAGCCAAAATCTGTAAGAATCGGAATTTAACGAAAAGAGGGTTTTTCTTTCAGGAAATGCATGCTTTTAATCTGGTATTAACAAGTAAATCATGTTTATAATCAACCCCCGTGAACCATAAAAATTGTACCTTATTTCTTGAAAATCCACTCATTCTATCAAAAGTTTTTCCGGTATTTCGTTTTCCCCATGTTGTCAAATATTGTAGAAATTAAAGGTAAAAGTATTTTTTGAAGAAGTGACTTCTCTCTTAATAATTGAAAATAAAAATTCCCATACTGTTGCCTAACCTCTGCCAGATGTATTCATGCAAATTGATTGTTATTTGTATGTTTCTTGTACGTATATATGTATGTAATATATGTTTCTTGTGGGCTAAGTATGTTTTCTCGATTTTGTTGTTCAAAATTAGTCAAAAAGAAATAGTTTACAGTATCGCTTTTCAGCACGCTGTTCAGGTATTTTTATTTTTGTACTAGAATCAATATAAATTTTAGCTATATTAAATAGGCTCTAAAATAAATAAAATATTTTTCTAACATAAAATGTTAATCAAATATTATGTATGTTAATCAAATAATGTTAATCAAATAATAATAAATATGTTAATCAAATATATCAAATCTTTTGATAAATAAAATTATCACAACGATCGGATTGGATTAGTAATTAACCCATAGTGTAAAAAGTGGTAATGTTTGTATANATAACAATGAAACAATTTAGGTAAAGTGAACAAAAAAGAACAATAAACATTTGAATCAATAAACATTTCAACAATATAAAATTTTAAACATTAACATGAAAAATGAAAGGTTATTGACAATTCATGAGAGTTCTTGCTTCCCAATACAATTTAGTGACATCACAGAATCAATATAAATTTTAACTGTATTTAAATAGGCTCTAAAATATGTAAAATATTTAATACAAAATATTTTTCTGACATAAAATGTTAATAAAATATAAGCGTGATTTAAAAGCATCATAAAGATAAATAATTACTTAGCTCTCTTTTATTTATTAGTATAGACATTAATGTGATTTTATCATAAATTTGCATAAAATATTCCACGCATACCTTAAATACTAAGATATCACAAATGTATAACTTTTTTTTTCCTTTTAATTTCGTTTAATTACAAAGTGCCCGCCATTAAGATAATATAAGTCTGCCATAAGTCTGTGTTTCTAAGAATTGAAAACTATTTAATACAGCTCTATTTATAAAACAAGATAAGAAACAAATGAGTAAAAATATCATCGACCATTTTCAACAACATTGCGCAAGAGAAATTCTAGTATCTTTTAAATGTATTTTAATGTGATAATTTATTATTAAAAGAATTGACAAAATACGAATACAAAAAAAGAAATGCGAAAAAAAAATGAGATTGTTAGATTTGAACCATTTTAAAATTTATTTTAAATTTCGGCGAAAATGAATGATGGGATGCCGAAAATGCATCTATATACTTTTACAATTGTGATAATGTCATTTATCACAAATTTAAACTTTCCTTAAATTTAAGAAGAAAAAATTAAGGAGAGTACTTTTGATAAATAAAATTATCACAACGATCGTACCTGCACAACTGCTTGGATTAGTAATTAACCCACAATGTAAAAAGTGGTAATGTTTGTATAAAGTAGTAATATGTTTTAAAATATGTTCAAACTGTGTAAAAATATCTTTTCTTAGCTACCATTTTAGTTTTTAAGTAATTATTTGCCAACATAAACATAGATTTTAAAATTATTAATATAGTTTAGTGGGAATGAGTTATCTTTTATTTCATAAATTAATCGTGCTAATGAAATAACTTTCGCAATTTTTTAGGTTTTGACCTTTTTTTTTACAACAGAAATAAGTACTTTAAAATTACATCTGGTCATAAAGGGATATATGTATTATGAAAATTATCAGCAAAAATATAGACTTAAAAAATATATTATAATGAATGAAAATATAGAAAAATGGCCCATGAAATATTACAGAATAATTAGTGAAGGGACTGAAAAAATTTAAAAATTAATTAAAATAATCAAAAAAGTATAAATAATAAAAATATCAAAGGAACATAAAAATTAATAATATTACTGAAGAATTATAAAATAGTGCATTAAAATCAAAAACGTATAAAAAAATTTAAAAAATTCGAAAAAAAAGTTTTAAAATATTAAAAGGACCAAAAGAATGCATTAAAACTTGTGAAAATAAAAAAATAGTTAAAATATCTGAAAATATAAAAGAATTATTTAAGTAGCCGACATTTTTATAACTCTATTTGCATGAAGATAAAAACCATTTGCGAAAACGTTCAAATAATCTTCAATGATCAATTTTGATTGGTTGAAAGACATATCAACTATTTCTTTCGAAACTAATGAAATAAATAAGACGTGTTTTGAAAAATGATTTTTACGTACACCGCTAAGAACATGAAAGGACATTTAATTAAAAATTACATTAATCATTCCTTGTTCAATCTCTCTTCTTCCAAAATAGGAATGAATACTTAATTAAATGAATAAACAAGTAATGCTTAATAATGAATGTTTAATAATGGCTGTTACAGAAAGAATCAATCAAAAGAAACACGTGCAATTCTTATGAAAAAATGACCACGTCTGATTTTATGACTATGGAATATTTTTATGACCTGAAGCACCAAATGGAACTGAAAGTGGTTTACCATTAAAAAATAAACAATTCTTGAATGTTGAGATCATAAAATGTTACTTTTTGGTTATAAAAATGCAATTGTCGTAGCTTAATTATATTTAATTTTATAACAGCTGATCCATTTCTGGGTTTATAACTATCAATGTTCAACTCCGTAGATTTGTAATTTTGAACCCAATTCAGAAGACAAGGGAACTCCTGGATCAAGTATTGGGAGAAATTTTGCCTTCGTGGGGGACTTTTTTTGATGGAACTAACCCAAACTAACAAAATAACCCAGGATCAAATATTGGAACAAATCAGTCTTCGTAAAGGACTTATCTTTATGGAACTCATCCGCATTTGCGATACATAATGGGAAGAACCACGAAAACCACCCACAGTTAGCATGGCAAGGGTATTCTAACACATGTAACTGTCTATGACTGAGGACATTCTACGTCAACACTGTGGTCCTGGTCGGTGCGAGTAGGGTTCAAATTTCATATCGACCAGAGTCGAAGATTGTTCAATTCCAATTATTTCGAACAGATAGGGTAGCATCACGTTTGTAAGTAAGCGCTCTAGCCCTAAGCTGCCGTGGCTCGTCTTGGGTTAGTTACATAATCTAGCAGTTGGCAAAAAGCCGCAGTCATTTTGCAATGCGCGAGGCTGGGCCCTGATAGCCTGGTTGATAGGTCACTGGGCCCATCTCCAAGTGGTCGTGGGTTCAATCCCCTCCGGCCGAAAACTCCCCGTGTAGTAAATGGTGACTTATGCATCTTAAATCTGTCGGGTCACAAAGTCCTCCATGTTCCCAAATCAAACCTCTGGGGGTACTGATCCAGGAGTTTCTTTGTCTTCTATACTGGTAGAAAATTACAAGGCTACGGAGATAAATATTAATAGTCGTAAACCCAAAATTGGGTAGGCTGTTCAACGACGGTTATGAAACAAAAACAAAAAAACGCCCCAGGCTAATTCGATATGTATCCAGTATTTTCTAATCTGTTCAGTCTGACACTGTTTAGGTTCATTGCAGTGAAGTGACGTACCTATAGGCTAATTAGGAAATATATCATTCATTGCTCAAATAGCATGATTTATTTCAGACCGTTTACAATAAGCCCAGAGTAATGAATTCTCATTGCAAATAGCTTTAGCAAAGGTTTATTGCAGTAAGCTTGAAGAAAGTTAGTCTGATAGAATTATTCACAGATTTCCAAAACTAGTTTCAAGGCAAATTGTAATCTGCCCAAATGAAGTCAGGTTGATTAAAAAGCTAAGATTCTTCATATTAGCCAGGTGTATTTCATAATACCGGGTCCCGCAGTGGACTGGTCGTTAAGACACGGCTCCCAGCAGATCACCGAAGTCNGGCAGGTGCGTTCCATAATACCGGACATAACTGCAAACAGCCAGATTTTTCAATTTAACTACGACACATAAATAAATGAAAGTGGGTAGAAATCATGTTGAAATTATCTAACTTTTTCAGAGCGTGAAAATGACATAGCCCTAGAAATATCATGGACAATATTACATCAAAGATTGGGTTGCGCAAAATTCTTAAAATAAATTTATTCTACTACATAAACAAATAAATAAAAAACTGAGAACTCCGGAAGAAATAGTTGAAATGTCAGCTAACTCTTATATGAGCCTGCCAACATTACTTTCCTAACTTTAAATTCTATTAAAACTTTAATTTGTGAGCTGCTAATTATTATTTGTTGTTATTGTTGTCGTAGGCCATTAAGGCAAGGAATGCGATTGTTCTTGCTTTCTAGTGGCGTCATCTATGGCCAAGAATTTGATTTCTGTCACACCCATACGTCACACTCGTTTATACACCCATTCATTCGTCCACAAATCGTAATTTTGACGTGAATCAGAGAATGATCAGTCTCCAATCTTGTACCCTCATAGGTATAATTTGTAATGGGAGCATAGAGGACTTTGCGATCCGACAGATTTCATGTGCACCAGTCACTATTTACTACACTGGGGAGTCTTCGGCCTGCTAGATTCGAACTACAGTTCTAACGAACTTACGACCTGCGCCCTGCCAAGCAGGCTATCCCGGCCCCAATTATTATTATTGTTTTACTTAATACAAAGTATTTTCCAATTATCTGATTAATTTTGAACACATTAAAAAGTATCTCAATTATAAAACACAGTGTTTCAATTTATGTAAAACATGTAATGAAAAATACTGTTCTAAAAATTAAATTCTGAATATTAATTATTAATTTTGTTTAAAAAAAAGGGATCTGTCATAATGGATATGAAATAAAAATAGTTTTTAGCGTAACAATGAACAACTTGAAATGATTTTAGAATTTAGAATTTTATAACCTTATTGCAAACTCTATGAAAGTGAATTTTGTGAGTTTTTAATTGTTTTCTTAATTTTTTTACTATTATAATCATATGTTTTTATGAGCAAAATGCATGTTTAAGAGAGCATGCATTTTTAAGAGCATTTATAGTGCAAAATTCTTCCTCACCCTTATTTGTGAATAAAAATATTACCATTTCCAATTTTGTTTCAAAAAGTTATTGCTTGAGAAATTTTTTTAGTGTTTATAATCATTGCAAGATAATTAAAAAGTGCAAAATAATTAAGAAGAAAATGATTAAGACATATTTATACAATGCTTCAATTTGTCTAAAATGTTCATTGCTCTAAAATCTAAACGGGTTTATTTTTCTCTTTAAAATATTAATAGATCTATCATAATGATCATGAAATGAGCAATTTTGTTTATATATACAGATGAAATTCTTTTTTTTTTTAAATATTTTCTCCTTACAAATAACTAAAATAAATTACATGAAATGCAAAATTTATACTTAAAATAATGTTACAAAAAAAATATTATTATAAAAAAAACAGATTCTATGTAAAATACATTTTGTGTCACTTTCTTCTATAAAATTTGTGAATTTTTTTTCACTTAAAAAATATTTATTTTTAACTCATCTACAGTGCTCAAAAATTAAACGGACCACCCTGTATAACTTTTGATTTAAGAATCGGATCTTAATTGTTCGAGGAGGTGACCTCAAATATGCCAATTATATAGCGCAGAGCTGGGAGAGCACAGGGGATAGAGAGTTTCCCGTCCAATGAGGCGAACCGGGTTCGAATCCCAGTCGATACGAATTCCTCATCCGGCTTGCAAAGACTACAATGCTGACGTGAAATATCCTCAGTGGTAGACTGATCATCTGTTAGAGTCCCCTTGCCGTCAGGCTGATCGTGGGAGGTTCTCGTGGTCTTCCTCACCATGTAACACAAATGCGGGTTAAATCCATGAAAAAGTCCTCCAAGAAGGCAAATTTCTCCCAATACTCGATTCAGGAGTTCCATTGTCTTCTGAATTGGGTTCAAAATTACGAGGCTATGGAGTTGAACATAAGTAGTCGCAAACCCATAAAATTGGGTCGGCTGTTCAACGACAGTTATAAAATTAATTAGTACAGACGAAGTTACGAAATAAGACACAAAAACTTACTTTATACTTTTTTTGACGAATTCTAATATTTTTAAACTTCTCAAAAAATATTTAGAGGATTATTTTTTAATTTTAGAAATTTTTAATTCATTCATACTTAGCAATAAGGTTTAAAGCTTTCAGAGGTTAAGAAACTGACGATAAACTACAAAAGACAACAAGCATTTTTGAACACCCTATGACAGCAAATCAAGCTATAAACTTGTTACTTGAATCGGCTACTTAAGTTGTTATTTGCAACAACTGTATAAAATTTCTTAAATCTATCTTAAATTTTTATGGAGATAATGACATTTTTATGAAAACTAAATTTTGTCTTATGTTTTTTTTTCCCCTACAGCTTTTGCTACTCAGTAAAATTAAACTAAATTTTTGGAGTAATTTAATTTGAATTACTGTTTGGATATTTAAAAAAAAATTGTTTCAAAATACGCTGGATATGACTATTTAAAGTAGTTCTTTCATGCTAAGCATGTGCGGAAAATGTTTGGAATTATTTTTTCCTAATTTTGTAGTGAATCGTATTTGGCAACTAATAAATAAAAAAATACATTAAAATACGCTTAAGACGTATAATATTTTAAACAATTTTCCAAGCAGTTTTTGCATTTCTTAAAATAAAGTTCAAAACTATTATGGTTGTTCCACAAATTTTATTAAGTATTGCAAATTACACTACCCCATAAAAACCACACGGAAAAAACAAACTTAAATTTGTAGAAAACCCCTAGTCGCTTTGAGTTTTAAAAATACAAAAACTGCTTAGAAAATTTACTGAAACTTTTTTATGTTTGTCGAAACTCAAACCAAAATTTTTCTTCAGTAGTCAAATACAAAAAGTAAGAAGAAAAAAATTATTTAAATTTTTCCGCGCATGCGCAGTATAAAAGAATTACTTTAAATAGTCATATCTTGCTCAGTTTTGAATGATTTCTTTCGAATTTCAAAATAATAGTTTTGTAATTAATTTTAAATTACTTCGATAATTCTGTTTAATTTTGTTCAAAAATTTTAAAGTTATAACAAAAAAACGTCAAAGTCAAAAAATTAGTTTTCTTATAAAAATGTCCATATCTCCATAAATGTTTAGTCGAAGTTTACGAAATTTTAGTAGTTTTTGCATTTGCAAGTAACAACCAATCGATACAAGTTACAAGCTTATTGCTTTATTTTCTGGCTTAGGGTGCTCAAAAATACTGTTTTTTTTCATAATTTATTGTCGGTCCCTAAAACCTTTGAAAGTTTTAAACATTATTACAAAGTATGAAAAACCGCAAGAACTAAACAATTCTTATGTTATAAAATAGTTCTTCAAGTAATTCTTAAAGAAATTCAAAGAAATATCAATAACCCAAATTGTCTCTTCCAATATTGCAGGGTAAGTCTATAATTCGTGGCATATTTTATTAGAGACCAAAAGCTTAAATATTTCGAAATTTTAAAAAATTTATATCGTGAAAGACGTCTTTATTTACTTGTAATTCTACCTAAATAATAAATAATTTTTTGCTTTGAAATTTATTAATCTCTAACATAAAACACGGTGGTTCGATTTCTTTAAAGTATTAAAGAGTATTGCTGGAAAAAATTTTTAGGATTTAACTTTTTCACATCTTACAACTTTACACATTTTTTTTTACTTTAACGGATTTATTCTACAAAATTAACTTCAAAGGATTTATAACAAAAATCACGCTATCCATTATAGTTTTGAAAACTGTCAGTTTATTAGTTTATTCAGACAAAAATTGCGACAATTAACCAAAACAAATAATATAAGCGATTTATTTAATATATATATATAATATTTATTTTTAACTCATCAACAGTGCGCAAANATATATATTAGACAATTAGACATTTTTATTAATCATTTTTTTTAAATGTAGCGTAAGAGACATTTCATCACTTTTATTCTTATTAAAATAATGAAGAATTCCCTGACTATATCAAACACAATGAATCAAATTATCTGAAATAAGGAGAAAAAAAAGTTGTTCAAAAAAATTAACTTCTACTTTAATTTTTATTTTTCTAATTAGAAAAATCAACCGATCCATCACAGCAGACGTGAAATAAAGACAATGTTAATTCACTCATAACGAAAATCATAAAGTAGAAGGCTTAACAGGGTGTAATAACTGATTCATCAATATCTGCAATTATTCTGTCAACGCTGAGTCTCTTATATTCAACCTAATTTCCCTGCCAAAGCAATTTATTTTCATCCTAGAGAACTCGTCTGGATGTTGACCTTGTCCTTTTGTTGTTCCTTGACTTTTCTTTAGAACTGTTTGGAAATAAATGAAAAAAGTTTATTAGGAAATAGAACATTTTAAACAGATCTAAATACTAGAAGCGAATTCAATTTCTAAGAACAAATGATTCTTATATGTTTAAGTTCGTTATAAGGAATGGGTTTTACTGATGTTTTCTAAAAGGAAATAGTGCAACCTTGAACTATTTATGGATTTTTTAAAATTTTTTTCTCCGGGGAGAAATGATGCACATTTTAAGTTTGATTAAAGTAAAAAAGTAACTTATCTGAAATCCTTTATCAGATATGACTTATACACAATCGCCTCCGGCTGTTTATGAAACAGGCTTCAAGTAGGTCTTAGTTTTAAGGATTTTGTCTTATTAAGTAAAATCTCTTTAGATTAAAAATCGACATCAACGCTACGACTATTTTGGGTTTTCGCCTTAGCGTTGCATTTTGTTTTACTGCAAAACACTATACAACTTGAAATCACGTATAATTTAGGTATATAGATAATATATAATTAAGGTACAATAAGTATATAACTAAGATAATATATAATCAAGGTATATAGAAAAATGTACAGAAATAAAAAAAAAATAAAAAAAGAACATTCGATAATTAGTTGAAGAATTGTTAACTGTTAAAGCTGTAGAAAAAAATACCATACGGTTACTTTAGTGGTGAAAGGAATCCAACTACCGAGTGAAAATTTGACATGATGAAAAAGATATATTTTTCTATGATTATAACTGCTTACTGTGTCAAATATTCTGTATTCCTAAGTTTAATTATTTTTTCACAAATACATTGGATTATTTTTGATATCCAGCTATCCTTTCGTTTTAATTTACTAAAATGAGCTTGCATAAAATTATAGTAATTATATATATTTTTTGCACAAAATCATATTTTTTTTAAAAAAAACTCTGCGTAGTCTTCATTTAATGTATACTTTCTTTTTTCATTTATAGGCATTTTTCTCCTTTGTTTTCTAATTCCTTTGTTTTCTAATTATTATTAAATACCGCGTTTAAGGAATCATTTGAAGGACACTTTAGGGCAATTCCACGGAAGTGTCAACTTTCAAGTGAAATTTTTTTTTTATGAATTGCATATTTTAATTTCAAAAATAATGTTCAAAAATAGCCAAAGTCTACATATTGCCGTTTCATTTTTGATAATTTTAAATTTTTTGAATCTGGCAGCATTCTAAAGTAATCACATGTCTGACAAGTGAATTGTTCACATTTGTGCTCAAATTGTTTTCTTGAAAAATACTTATAAAATAAAAGAAATGTATCTTTCTTTTGCAATATTTTGATAAAAAATATGCATATAGAACAAAATTTAAACATTTTAAGTTTAATATATTAAATAAAAGTAACTTCTTTTACGTCATTCCGTCACATGTCTTAATAATGCATAAATTTCCTGAGAACGAAGATAAGATGTAACATTGGCAAGTTAGATATAAAACCTCCTCAGAGACAACCTAATTTTCAAACTGTTGAAATTCTTACATAAATATTAATCCTGTTTATCTGTTACATTCTGTTTATCATTTACATATTAATAAAACATTTTTTAAATGAAGGCTTTCTTCTACTAAACTTTTTGTCATTCCGTCACGGTCATTCCGTCACAGCAAATAGATGTTAATAACTGCTAGCCAACCTGAGGTTAATTTTCCAAATTCACATTTTACATTGCTTACACATTATACTAAAAGTATAAAATAGTTCAGAAAAATAATAGCTGCAAAATTCGCAGAAACTACCAGTTCTAAGCGGCATGCCAAAAGCTTGGTTGCCAAAATGTCATTCCGTCACGCAAATAAAAAGTTCGTAAAATTAAAAGTAAAAAAGATAGAAAATCCTGTTTTTTTAGTTTATGAAGAGCATTATGCCAATAATAATGATATGCATGATAAAAAAAAATTATTTGAAATTAGATACATAGAAACTTCAATTAATTGTTATTTTGCAAGTCAAAATGTCATTCCGTCACATATGGAATTGCCCTTTAGAGATTTCTCATAATTTTTTGGTTCAGAAGAGAACGTTGATATTAATATTAAGTCAAAGGATAGGAAAGGATTTCTAAAAACATATGCACATGCTAAAAAATATTTAATAAGTTTTTTAAGAACTTTTTCTATTTTGTCGTTGTCACTGTATGAAGGTCATAAAGGTGTTGCTAAAATTGATTATGATGCAAGCATGATATGAACGAATCCAGAAATTCTGCGTAGTCTGCATTTAATTGTCTTTTTTTTTACTAAGAATTGCTCTCCTTTGTTTTCTAATTACTATTAATAGCTGCGTTTAAGGCGGTCACTTGGCGGACATTTTAATTATTTTTTCAAACAATTTTTTGGTTCAAAAAAGAAATTTGATATTAATATCAAGTCAGAGAATGGAGGCCAAAATTTCTAAAAACATGTACATACGCTAAAAAATGTTGATAAATAATTTTTACAAATTTCTTTTGTCCTTGTCTTCTATATAGTAAACACTGATGCTGCTAGAATCGATGATGATGCAAATATAATATGAGGCGAGTTAAAAGAATATGATGTAGCCTAAATTTAATGTATACTTATGTCTATTTCGGTTAAAGGCATTGCTCTCCTTTGTTTTCTAATAGTTATTAAACACTGCGGTATGAGGGGACATTTGATGGACACTTTCGTAGTTTTGTATAATTTTTTTGGTTCAAAATATAACTTTGATATTAATATCAAGTCAAAAGATAAGTGTCAAAATATATACATATATGGTAATAAATATTTTTAAAATTTATTTAAAATTGTTATTTTATCCTTGTCCCTCTGTATAGTCAGCACGGATATCGCTAACATTGTTGATGGTGCAAATAAGTTATGACGTGGGCTAAAAAAAACCTCTTTTTAGTCTACATTTAATGTATTCTATTTCTTTTCTAGGCATTGCTCTCCTTTGTTTTCTAATTATAAATAAAGCTGCTTAGAGGGGTCATTTGATAGACTTTTAAGAAAAACACTTATAAGACGAACAAGGTAGAAAAATGATTTATGTACATTAAGCTGATTCTGAAAGGAAAAAAAAACGACTTCGCGCACGGACTGAAACTATTTTTCCACAGCACGGCCCATCTTCACTGAGTAATAATTCTCGGAGTTGGGTGCCAATTTTTCATGACATTGATTTGCTAAAACTTAGTTATCCCCAAAATGCAACATATGGCATTTTTGTAAAATAAAATGGACATGAGCGTTTTTCCCCTTTTATCTTTAATTATTAATGATGAAGGGGAACAGCTGGTAGCCTCTGTTGCACACGTTTTTTCTCGCCTTTGCACACGTTCTTTGATTTTACCCATTGTTTTAAATCTAATTTTACTTATAATTATTAAAAATTTGAAAATATCAATCTAATGTTTTAGTAAACAAGCTTTTTATACATAGATATTGCTTCAAACAATGTCTTCATCAAAAATTTTGTGTAAAGCATGTACAGAACCAATTCTGTAAGACTAGGATAAGTTAACATGTAAAGGTGAATGTAATTCTGTTTTTCTGTTGATAAAATACAAAAGTGGACTTATGTTCAAAACCAAAGGAAAACCCAACGAAAATAAAAAGTGCAACTAGCCCAGACATTCTCGAGAATATCTTACAGCAAAATAAAGACCTAAAAGAGTTAATAACTAACAAATTCAACGATTTAACCTGTTCAATGGAATTCATTAGTGAAGTAATTCAAGAGTTGAAAAATTCTATCACAGAGCTACAAAATGTAAACAAAACTTTACGAACAAAGTATGATCAGCTAACTAGAGAAAACGCAGAAATAAATGAACTAAAAGAAGCAGTTGTTTAAAAGCAATATTCCCGAAGATCCAACTTTGAAATAAATAACTTACCCGAATGTGAAAATGAAGACATACCATAAGTAATATATTCCAGATTGATAATGTTGCAAATACTAATATATCCAAAAATCTGATCACCCCTCACAGAGTCCCCAGCTTTAATAAAGATAAACCTAAACCCATCATCGTTCAAGTTAAATCCAAATCTGTACGTGATGAGCTCTTAAAGAAACTTAGAAATCGTAAACTTACAACCTGCGAAGTCAACTCCAGGTTCACAGAAATGCCTGTTTACTTCAATGAGCATTTGACTACCGAACTGAAGCATCTATTTTATCTTTCACGTAAGGCTAAATCTGAAAAGGGATTCAAATTTTGTTGGGTTCGCGATGGTAAAATATTCCTGAGAGGAGTTCCTTGTTGGACTCGGTGGAAGCATGTTGAATTTGAAGAAGATCCTCAGAGCTCATACTGTTGATTGTTGATGATGATGTGGGGGGGGATCTTTGTTACTTGCTTTTATCCCCCTTGCTGTAAGGTGTATCTTTTGTGAGTTGAGTTGTTGGTGGTGAAAATGGTGACAATGAGATGGTGGCAGAGCTCATACAAATCTTGTTTGGCTAAGTCAAGCATTACCTATTGAAATACAGAGCTATAGGCTAAAGCAGAGAGCTCGTAGCACTTTACAATACTCAATACTCCTGGGTGTTAAATTCGTGATTTCGGTTGGAAGCGTCCTGTCGTTTGACGGGGACGCACGTGCCCCAATCTTAAGCCTTACCTATGAAAAAATAGATATTGACTGATGTTGAATTTGAAGATTGTTGTAGTTAATTTACGTCGCACTAGAGCTGCACAATGGGCTATTGGCGAAGGTCTGGGAAATATCCCTAAGGATGATCCGAAGACAAACCATCCAAATTTTGAACCTCTGCAGAGGGGATGGTAGCCCCGCTTCGGTAGCCCAACGACCTGCACGCGAAGTCGAGCACTTTACGGTAGAGCAGTTTAGCGAGGACCAGTACCGCACACCCTCGGTCCCTACGCAGACTGAGCCAAGTGGTCACCCACCCGGTTGAATTTGAAAAAGAGCCTCAGAGCTCATATAAATCTTGATAGGCTAAATTAAGCTTTTACCTATTGAAATACAGAGCTATAAGCGAAAGCAGAGAGCTCGTAGAACTTTACTATTCTCAATACTCAATATTCCTGAGAAAAGTTGAATAGTCCAAAATAATACGTGTGAAATCATCTCAAGACCTTAATATTCCATCCAACTGAAGAAACATTTTTATCTGTGCCGGACTGCCTAAAAATTGAAAATTTGGACGATTTAATTTTTTTTATTACCTCAACCTGTAAGTTCAACATTAATATTTTACATATAAATATTAGAAGTTTAAGAGCCAACTTTGATAATTTTATTTCACATATTTCTAGCATGATCGAAAATATAAGTGCTGTAATTATGTCGGAAATTTGGATTTACCAAAATGAAACTAATTTTTACTCAATAAATGGTTATAATTCATTCTTTAATTGCAGAAATAATAATCGCTCTGGAGGTGTTTGTGTTTTTATTAAAAGATGTCTTGATATTTTAGAGTTAGCTACACATTTTGTTTCCGCAGAATCTATATTATTTTATTGCAAACCTTTAGATTTATTATTTCTATCTTTATATAGATCTCATGATTTTAGTGTTGATTTTTTTAATACTGAACTTAAAGTAATTATCTCTGAACTTAAATATACTAATATAATACTGATGGGTGATATAAATATTGATATTCTAAGTGATGATTTTATTACTCATGAATATATTAATTTATTATGCCAATTTGGATTTCAAAATTACATAGACAAACCAACTAGAGTAAATTCCTCATCAACTTGCATTGATCATGTCTTCGTAAAAACAAATAAATTTTCAATCAAATCCGGAATATTCATAAATGACATAAGCGATCACTATCCAACCTTTTGCAGTGTTCATTACGATGAGGTAAATAAAATTAAGGAANTCTTCACTGAGTAATATTTCTCGGAGTTAAGTGCCAATTTTTCATGACATTGATTTGCAAAAATTTAGTTATCCCCAAAATGCAACATATGGCATTTTTGTAAAATAAAATAGACATAAAGCGTTTATCCCCTTTTATCTTTAATGATAAATGATGAGGGGCAACAGCTGGTAGACTCTGTTGCACACGTTTTTTCTCGCCCCTTGAATACTTTGATTTTACCCATTGTTTCAAATCTAATTAAACTTATAATTATTAAAAATTTGAAAATTTCAATCTAATGTTTTAGTAAACAAGTTTAGATATTGCTTCAAACAATGTCTTCATCAAAAATTTTGTGTAAAGCATGTACAGAACCAATTCTGGAAGACTAGGATAAGTTAACATGTAAAGGTGAATGTAATTCTGCTTTTCATTTTCATTGTGGTGGTGTCACTGAAAGAGCTTTTAGAAAACTTACTGTTGATAAAATACAAAAGTGGACTTGCGTACAATGTTCAAAACCACAGGAAAACCCAACGAAAATAAAAAGTGCAACTAGCCCAGACATTCTCGAGAATATCTTACAGCAAAATAAAGACCTAAACGAGTTAATAACTAACAAATTCGATGATTTAACCTGCTCAATTGAATTCAATAGTGAAGTAATTCAAGAGTTGAAAAATTCTATCACGGAGCTACAAAATGTAAACAAAGCAAAGAATGATCAGCTAACTAGAGAAAACGCAGAAATAAAGAAGGAAATAAATGAACTGAAAGAAGCAGTTATTGAACTCAAACAATATTCTCGAAGATCCAACTTTGAAATAAATAACTTACCCGAACGTGAAAATGAAGACATTCAACAAGTAATATTCCAGATTGATAATGTTGCGAATGCTAATATATCCGAAAATCTGATCATCGTTCACAGAGTCCCCAGCTTTAATAAAGATAAACCTAAAATCATCATCGTTCAAGTTAAATCCAAATCTGTACGTGATGAGCTTTTAAAGAAACTGAGAAATCGTAAACTTACAACCTGTGAAGTCAACTCCAAGTTCACAGAAATGCCTGTTTACTTCTCTGAACATTTGACTCCCTTTTTTTTTTCTTTATTTAAAACAAATTGGGTGCCTGGGCCGCGCAGCGTCCCCTAACCCATACATCATGAAAATAGTAAACAGTGTATAAAAACATTTTGTTGTTGTTGTTAATTTACGTCGCACTAGAGCTGCACAATGGGCTATTGGCGGCGGTCTGGGAAACATCCCGGAGGATGATCCGAAGACATGCCATCGCAATTTTGATCCTCTGCGGAGGGGATGGCACCCCCACTTCGGTAGCCCGACGACCTACGCGCGAAGTCGAGCACTTTACGGTAGCATAGTTTAACGAGGACCAATACCGCACACCCTCGGTCCCTGCGCAGACTGATCCAAGTGGTCACCCACCCGCACACTGACCGCAGCCAGTGATGCTTGACTTCGGTGATCTGCTGGGAACCGTGTCTTAGCGATCAGTCCACTGCGGGACAAAAACATTTTGTATTATGCATCATTATGGTGGCAATATTTGACTCCCGAAATGAAGCATCTATTTTATCTTTCACGTAAGGCTAAATCTGAAAAGGGATTCAAGTTTTGTTGCGTTCGCGATGGTAAAATATTCACGAGAAAAGATGAATAGTCCAAAATAATGCGTGTGAAATCATCTCAACTCCTTAATATTCCATCTAACTGAAGAAACATTTTTATCTGTGCCGGACTGCCTAAAAATTGAAAATTCGGACTATTTAATAATCACTTTATTACCTTAACCTGTAAGTTAAACATAATTATTTTACATATGAATATTAGAAGTTTAAGACCCAACTTTGATCATTTTATTTCACATATTTCTGGCATGATTGAAAATATAAGTGCTATATTTATGTAAGAAATTTGGATTTACCAAAATGAAACTAATTTTTACTCAACAGATGGTTATAATTTATACTTTAATTGCAGAAATAATAATCGCTTTGGAGATGTTTGTGTTTTTATTGAAAAATGTCTTGATATTTCAGAGTTAGCTATACATTTTGTTTCCGCAGAGTCTATATTACTTTATATCATACCTTTGGATTTATTATTTCTATCTTTATATAGATCTCATGATTTTAGCGTTGATTTTTTTAATACTGAACTTAAAGTAACATTCTCTAAACTTAAATATCCTAATATAATACTGATGGGTGATATATATATTGATATTCTAAGTGATTATTTTATTACTCATAAATATATTAAATTATTATGCCAATTTGGATTCCAAAATTACATAGACAAACCAACTAGAGTAAATTCCTCGTCAACTTGCATTGATCATGTCTTCGTAAAAACAAATTAATTTTCAGTCAAATCCGGAATATTCATAAATGACATAAGCGATCACTATCCAACTTTTTGCAGTATTTATAACGATGAGGTAAATAAAATTAAGGAAACTGAAAATAAAATTTCAATCAACTATAATAAGCTCTATAATTATCTGTCAAATTGCAAATTTAATTACAATCCTCAAGATTCTCTTGATCAACAATATCAGTTTTGTTTTCAAACTAAATAATTTAAAAAATAATTTTAAATATACGCATAAATCAAACAAAAGAGCCAAAAATAACTGGATGAATAGTAATATCTTGATTTTAAATTGAAGAAAGGAAAAACTATTAAAAAAACTGGAAAATATCCATGGGATATTACTTACAAAACAGCATACAACACTATAATTTCTGAGCTTAAGAACTTAATTAAAACAGCAAAATCAGAATACAAATTTTAAAATTGTGATTCAAATAAACAAAAATGGGATCTTGTAAATAATATTATTGGTAATCAGAGAAAATCACCTACTTTACCTGATATTTTAAACGACTATGAATCTTCTGATCAATTTAATAAATCATTTCCAAATGCTAACAGTACCTCAAACCCAAATTCAAACAGTTTTCAAATTTATATTTTACCAAGTTTAACCTTGTTTGTTTTCCTAGAATTGAATGATTGTGATGTACTTTACTTAATGAATTCTCTTTCTAATAAGAACTCCTTTGACTATGGTATTAATGTAAAATTAATTAAATTATTTGCTCTCGATAATATAAATTTTATAACCAATTTCATCAATACCTTAATCAAATCATCCATTTTCCCATTTCTTTAAAAAGAGCAACCATAACTCCTATTTTTAAAACCGCGGATGAAAATTGCTTATCAAACTATAGACCAATTTCAATATTATCTGTATTTTCCAAAATCATTGAAAAAGCTCTAGCTGATAAAATGTACAATTATTTACAACATACTAATTTTTTCTCTGAAAATCAATATGGATTTATTAAAGGCAAAAGTATAGAAAAAGCTCCTTTGGAATTTTCAAAATTTATTCATAATAGTATTGCTGAAAATAAGATAACAGAAGCTATATTTCTTGATATATCAAAAGCTTTCGATAATGTCAATCACAATCTCTTAATCAAAAAATTAGAATTTGCTGGTTTCAGAGGAATTATTTTAAATTGGTTTATTTCATATCTTTCAAACATAGAGTTAAAATCCGAAGTAATTTTAGTAATTATATTTTTTCAAACCGTAGTGTTCCTCAAGGATCTATTCTAGGACCCTTATTGTTTATTATATTCATCAATGACTTTTGTCAAATTAAACTTTTTGGTAAGATAATAACATATGCTGATGATTCCGTAGTTTTGTATTCTTGCACTGATTTAAATCCATTAGAATATCGGGAATATAATTCCTTGTATACAATCAACGGCATAATGCTAATTGTAAGCATTATTTGTATGTAAAAATAAAAATTATGAATGAACTACTTATTTATGGATAGTAAGAAATTGTTGTCTCAAACTTAAAACATTTCAAAATTTCCAAAATGCATACAAATGTTTGAAAGAATCTTTCCCATTGCTTAATACTGAGTAATTCTGCCATAGTTTGTTTCCATTTTCATGTTTTGAAAATATTTCCTCAGCATTTAAAATTTCATTGCTTACTCGTGGTTTAAATGAACTTACTTTTCTCTAAACTATAAATTTCCATTCGAGGTGACAAAGCATTTTCCACAAGGGATTTCTCTCGCAAAGTATGGTTCTCTTATTCGAGATCTTATTCTAATGGATTGCTGGGATAACCCATTAGAATATCGGGAATTTAATTCCTTGCATGCAATCAACAGCATAATGCTAATTGTAAGTATTATTTGTATGTAAAAATAAAAATTATGAAATTATGATTTGCAGATAGTAAGAAATTGTTGTCTGAAACTGAGAAGCAGAGATATGATGGTTGGTACAATAATCCGGCACATGCACACTGGGGTTCATGCGGTAAGTGAAGAAACATTAAAATTCTCTTTAAACAAAATAAAAATAGCAATTGACATTTTAAAACTAAATTAAGGAAAAAAGTATTTTCTTAATAATGAAAATTAAAAATCTAATTACTCAATCTTCAGTTGTTTAGATATTCGAGTAATATTTATTTCTTACTTATTTCTTTTTCTTTTTTAGTAAAACCAGCTAAATAAAAATTTTATAACTCAAAACGTTATGCTAAAGAAGAGTGTAGGTGATTTAATTTTGATCAAATCAATTAAGTGTTTCGGTGAAAAGATGAAGTAATATTGTTTAAAAGCTACGCTTAATATTAGTTTCTTTTTAAATATTGAAATCTTTTTGAAAACTATTGCAAACACAGGTTTTCAATAATATTAACGGAATGAATCCAGCACTTAGAAGTGTTAATTTAAAACTAACAGGAGTGAAAGATAACAAAACAATTAAGAGTGAAAGATAACATGACAATTACAACAAAATATGTTAATGGGAATATATAGCCTATATTTTCATACTAGTTGAGAATGAACATTACGAGGGTTAAAAGAAATTTTTCCCGCTGCCCTGAACAATTTTCATTTATATATTTATATTTTCACCTTCATTTATAGTACTTCAGTTATAAAACCGTAGTCAAAATATAGTTTCAAGCATGTATTACCAAAGATTTTTCATTTATGTAATAATAATTTATAGGGAGTCACTTGACCAGGAAAGTGAGTGCTTCTTATTCCGATGGTGTGTATTTAATGAAAAATATACCGAATGCCCGAGCATTGAGTCAAGCATTGATGAGAGGTGGGGATGGTCTACCCTCCACAAGAAATCTAACCACACTATTCACATTTTTCGGTAAGTACAAGATTTGTTTTAATATCAAAAAAGTTCTATAGAACAATTGAGCCGCGATGACTCAGGGGATAGAGCTTTTCCAATGAGGTGAGCTGGGTTCGAATCCCAGCTGTGACTGTTCTATACGAATTTCGCACCCAGCTCGCATCAAACACAGTGCTGACGTAAAATATCATCAGTGGTTGGCGGATCACGGGTTAGAGGCATGTCATCGAGCTGACCGTGTTAGGTTCTAGTGGTCTTCTTCTCCATGTAACGCAAATGCTGGTTAGTTCCATCAAAAAGTCCTCCACGAAGGCAAAATGTCTCCCAAAACTTGATCCAGGAGTTCCCTTGTCTTCTGGATTGGGTTCAGAATTACAAGACTACGTAATTGAGCATTAGTAGTCGCAGATCCGAAATTGGGTAGGGTGTTCAACAATGGTTATAAAATAAAATAATCCTGCTGGTTCTTTATTGTTCTTTCTTTTTATTCAGAGGCTTCCATAACTCTAATGCGTGTATTTGCATCAGTTAATATGTATTGGGTCAGAGTTCCCTTATCGCCAGGCTAACAGCGGGAGGTCTTCGTGGTTTTCCTCTCCATGTAACGTAATTACGTGTTAGTTGAATCAAAACGGCCTCCACGAAGACAAATTTCTCCCAATACTTGATCCAGGAGTTGCCTGGATCGGGTTCAAAATGACAAGGCTACGGAGTTGAGCATTAGTGACTGTAAACCTAAAAATTGGGTTGAACGACGGTTATAAAATAAAATAGAAGCAATGTTCATCTGTGAAACGCATCGTCACCGATGATACCGATCTGACCACACATTACTTACATATATTTTTCTGTTGTGACCAATAGGTCAGATGGTGGCGTCAGAGATTGTGATGGCCAGTGAATCTGGTTGTCCAATCGAAATGCAGAGGATTGAATTGGAGAAATGTGATGAAGCTTTTGATGCTCATTGCAAAGGATCGAAATTTATGCCTTTCTATCGAGCCCTCTACGACTCCAAGACTGGACAATCACCCAACAATCCACGAGAGCAGGTAAACAAATCTTTACAATTTTTATCTGTACTTACTAATGCGTTGCTTCTATGGAAAAATATTTTCAACCATTCAATTTGTTATAAGTGTACATGTAACAGCTATTTTTAATTGACAGCTTAGGTTTTGTTATTCCTAGCCCATAAATTCTCTGTTTATAATGAAAAATGTGAAAACTTTAAATAAAGAAGAAAAAAATTCCTCCGTTTCTAAAAGAATGAAAATCATATGTGATCGAATTTTTCAATGATTAAAAATTCATTTTATCACAGTATGTGTTTGGGCTACATTAAAAATCAAAATAACGATTTTAATAGTTTTCATCTAAATCAAAAAAAGTTTCGAATTTATTTTTCAGAAAACTTCCTTTTTAAACTTTAATTCTTTACACAAGATATTATATACAGCGTCCTTCGCGATATATATCATTCGAGTCAATCTATATTTTGAGAGTCCTTGTTAAAGGTTATTTCAAAAAAAAAATCTTTATATACATATACACGGCTATTTTAACACATAAACATGCATTCTCTTTTACATCCATGTTAACAAGTGTATTAAGGGTGATCATTGTACAACAACAAGCGTATTCTAAAATTCGATTTCTAAGGCACTACATGCTTATATAAATAGCCTTACAGATTCTGTTTCTGCAGGTGAATCAAGTAACAAGTTGGATTGACGGAAGTTTTATTTACAGCACGAGCGAGGCATGGGTGAACAGCATGCGGAATTTTGTGAATGGCACTTTCAGAATGGGACCTTCTGGATTTCCACCCAGAAATCACGAGAGAGCTCCACTTCACAGCTACCCACCCTCCGACCATCTACGACTGCTGAGTCCTGAGCGCATGTTTCGTAAATATATATTCCATAACACTCTATACGTAGAAATGATAAAAATGGAGATTTTAAATGATTTAGTGATAAACAAGGCAGGACTAGCGCAGATTTATATTTTGCTGGTCACCACTTGCTTTGTTAATGAAAGTATTGGTGTATCTAATGCGCTTATTGATAATAATAGCCAATCAATTAGTTTTAATAATCGGATTAATCAAGGTGAAGTAAGGGCCATTATCCGGTTCATCTTACACTGATAATTTAAGGTTAAGTGCCACTTCTCGGAATACCCAGCGCTGGTATTTTTTTAGTGGTTAAAGGCCAATACCCAGTATACATTCATAAATACTTAACCGACTTGCTGGGTTATTATTGATAATAACCGGTGATTGTTAATACTAACCAAATGATCATATTCACCGTAACATATAAACAATGTGATTTTATCTCTCCTCTAATGAAATATTTCAAGGACTTTATCAAATTATTTACTTTCTTTAGAAAAATCAACCGCACAGAGCTTTGATTTTAATATCATACGTGAGTTTATCATCGAGCTAAGGGATTTGATCAAATTTCCGTTTTTATCATCTGCGACACATAAATACTTGCATGCACTGTAGTACATGCGATATAATGTATATCTTTTCCACCCACTGATAGGGGGTGGTGGAGAAATATATTATTCTTGCATTGTGGATTTTACTAATAGGTGGATCATTTGACAAAATTCCTCCCAAAAAGTTTTATCTATCTAGTTTATTTTTTAGAAAGATACCTCATAGAATCCAAGAATTTGATTTCAGTAAAATTGTTTTCTATAAACTATCGTAAATTATCAGTATCAATTGTTTGAGTTATAGAAGAACTCATATTATCCGACAGCCACGAGACCATAGGTAATATACCAGGGGATCAAAATCTTCCGATAACCCAAAAAATTATGTTAAAATAGTGTAAATAATTGTGTAGGTCGGTGGACGCGCGTTCGTGAGAACAGGAGTTCGAATCCAACCGGCCGAACACTTCCCGTGTCGTAAATGCTGACTAGTACACGTTAAATCTGTCTGGTCACAAAGTCCTCCATGTTCCCATAACAAATCACAGAATTAAAGACAACAAGTTATGACTTAAATATAAAGGGCGGTAAAGATTCAGTAAAAAGTGATGTTCCAAACAAGATTAAATGCAGTTTGAATGCAATCTAGTAGTATATGCATACAATACAGTCGAACTCGTTTATAACGAGCACAAAGGGACCGTAACATGTACTCGTTAAATCCGAGTGCTCGTAATAAACGGGTCCTTATGGCAGGCGTGCAGCCAGAAGAGGGGGGAGGTCAAATTATTGAGTTTACATAAAACTTAATTAATACTTACTTTAATTAATTTAATTAAATACTTTTCTTAATTTAATGACAATTATCCCCCCCTCCCAACCAGCAAACAATTTCTATTTGCGCTACAGTCTTAAAGGAAAGAAGCAATAAACGGAAAGAAAAATAAAGGAAAAGATTCTTACCAAAACATTTATTTTTTTCATTAATCTACATATTTAAAATAGTAGTTTGTTAGCTTACTTTGAAGTTTCAGTTCGCGGTTTTTTTTTATTTCGCGCTCATTTCTTATCATTTTAAAAAAAAGATTGCAAGACAAAAAAATATTGCTCGCTAAAGCCGGGTCTTGCTCGTTAAAAGCGACTTCTGTTCCATAGACTTAACATTGATCCAACCAAATATTCTCGTTTCCCTCGGTAAATCCGAGTTCTCGTTAAATCCGAGCTCGTTATAAACGAGTTCGACTGTATTGAATAAGTGTAATTTGAAAAGTGAAAAGTTTATTTAGTTTATAACGTATTAAAAAAGATATCCTTTTTAAACAGAAAAATGTAATTTAATTTCATTATAAATTAGTAATTTATATTGAATTGGATCGATACATTTATTTTTTCATAATATAACAAAAATTAGAAACGTCTAACATTAATAACCCTATTTTTATTTTATTACTCATCAGAAAGAAAGCTAGGATATTATACTTTACCTTAAAATTTAACTGAAATATTTCTTTTTTTTAAATATTGGTTATTCAATTTCTATTTTAAGCAAATTAATGACCAGACATCAAATATAGTTTTACAATGCAATTCTATATTTCAAAATTAAAACAATGGTTTAAAGATTATTTTTTAACAAAAAGAAATACAATGTGGGGCACACTGGACTGTAAAAAAATAAATTGTACTTTAATTGAGACGCTTATCGAAAGATTTTCGCCATCCCTGTATATGAATCTGTTAGCCAGCAAGCAGTAATATCTTTAGCACTGAGGGTTAAATTAAATTGCGAAATGTATTTAAAAGAAGAATCTTTAAAAGCTGATTCTAGTAAACTCTTTATCTGAAAATAAAATGCATTTCACTTGAGTTTAAGAGATACAAACATAGTTTTAACTGACATGTGACAGAGAATATGAATTTCAAATACATGAATTTCAAATGCAAAATATGAATATGAATTTCAAATGCAAGATAAGATAAATAATGGCTAAAATTTAGCTTATCTATTTGAAAATTTGAATAAGTTTCCATAACATGCATTATTTTTTTAATGTATAAACAAAACACATGTTTGAAACTTGAAATTCAGTAACAGATAATTTTAACCTTTCCTTTCTAATGCGTAGTATTCTTGATCATAAGAAAAGTTTTTTAACCAAATAAAAATTTATAAATAAATTCCTTAAGTTATATTCAAACAGAGAAACAATCACATTTAAACTCTTAGTTTTTAACCATGACCTATTTAAAAGTTGAGTAAATGTTTTAATTTTTCGATCGTTTCGATCAGAAACAAGAAATTGATTGACACAAATCCCCCCTCAAAAAATAAATAAAATTTTTGATCTACGTGAAAAAATCTACAGCCCCGCCCTTGGTTGTTGTTGGTGAGTTTAATTTGTGAGTCAGTTTAAAAAAATTTTTTTTGTTATTTTACTCTACCTTCATCCTATTTAAATTTTTTTTAATGAAATATTTCTCATTTTTTTTCCTAGTTATAATCCACCATCTGAATGACATATATAAGCCGATAAAAGATGTAATGTTTTTTTATATCAGTGTCGGATTAAGCCTACGCGGGGCCCTAGGCCATTCAAATTTTTGGGGTCCTTAAATTAATTTTTTCTTTCTCGTATAGTTTTTATTTATTCGAATGAAAAAGTATTTATATATCTTTTCATTCAAGAAAGCATATTTAAAATTAAAATAAATAATAATAAATTGAATTTTACTTTATTTTGCTAAATTAGAAATAAAAAATAATCCTACCATTTTATAATCATGACATATATATTTGAAATTGATTTTTTTTTAAATCATTGTTTTTCTTAATTTTTTAAAATTTGTTTTCAAAAAATCCATTTCAAGGGGGCTTTTAATCATTGGGGGTCATGGCCTAGTTTGGCCTAATGAGTAATCCGGCACTGGTTTTGATTTTAAATTGTTTTGCAATACCGTAAGCAATGAAAGTAATTTGAAAGGTACTCTTAACTGTATTAGTGCGCAAATTAAAATGATATTACCTTGAATAACATTTGTTCTTTGACCAGTTTTTTTATGAACTAAGTACCGGTCATAACAGTTCTAAGAGAGGACCTCAGACATGTTAATTAACACAAGAAACACTGAAACTTAGTATATACCTATATTGCCCAAAAGCAGTCAAATTGGCTGGATTGTGACAGAATAGCTGATGTGTAATGTTTAAAATTAATTTTTTAATATTTTTTATATTATTTACAGTTATATAAGAAAATATAAGTAAATATCAACAATAAAAAAATTTATATGTTGTACAAAAGTCATAAAATTTTAAGAAATTGTGTCATTATACACATCATTGTTTTTCTAATTGAAATTAAAAAGCAGTCAAGACAGCTCCTTTGCGCCATCTAGTGTTAATTATCACAAACTATTAATTAAGTTGCAGAATCAGACAAAAAAACAGACATTCCCTGAATTAACACACTTTTTTCGACGGATTTGGTTTCTTGATTAATTATGGGGTAGTCGCAATCAGGGAAATATGGTCAAATTAGTTTGGTCAAATGAGAGTTCGAACATTTGAATTTCTTAATGCTAATTTCAGTTTTTGTGCATTACAATTCGAACGAAGCGCAATAATTTGTTTCAATTTGAACGAAATTATTGCTGCGTTCCCCTACCTATTGAGGTTGTATCAAGACTACAGGATTATAGTTTATCATAGCAGTATTACAGTTAACCATAGCGATATCATAGTTCAGCGTTAAATCAATTTTCTTATTTTGTCAATATTTTTTTTTTGTATTCTGTGTAATTAATTCATTTGGTAAATGTTATCATGCATATGTCTTAAAAATGTTTCATATACAATTATGTAAATTAAATTTAACAAAAATATGGGTGTCGAACCTTTTTTTATCGAATAAGTACAAAAATACAATGGGGAGCAATATTTTTATCTGAAACTCTACTTTTTTTTTTCAGTGTTAGGAGATCCCCGCGTCCACCAAAATCCTGCTCTCCTGTCTTTGGGCATCCTCTTCTACAGGTGGCACAACGTTATAGCTACTAAGATTGTTACTGAGCATCCTGATTGGTCAGATGAGGAAGTGTTTCAAAAGGCTCGAAGATGGGTTATTGCTACACTGCAGGTGACATTTTATTTACATCTCCGAAATAAATCGATCATTTATTAACTATTAAAAAAATACAACAAACGTTTTAAAGCAGTTGAATAAAAGTCGACTATAGAAAAGACCATTGCGGTATAGCATTTAAATAACCATCAGCGGCTGCATATAGTTACGTTTTATTTATTTATCAATTGTTTAAAAATGCTTTCAAAACAGTATAAAAGCTTTTAAAAATTTGACTCGTAAGACAGAAATTTAATTCGTATTATCTTTCACGGCATATATAAAAAATTATTAAAAAGGGGTAAAAGTTTTGTATTTTCACTGAAATCTTAAACTTGGTCAGATATTTCGATAAACAAGGCGAACATTCGTTCTTGAAAAAGAAACAACTATATGACGTTGCAAGAGGATTGAACTTGATTAGACTAGAAAGGCACAGTTGTGCTTTTCTGAATCTTTCTATCGCTCTCGGGTTGAGCTCTTCTTAATCCTATAAGAAATGAGACGAGCTCGGACATAAAATTTTCATAATTTCTTTTTACTGAGCCGCGATGGCTCAGGGGATAGAACGCTCGCCCTCCAATAAGGTGAAACGGGTTCGAATCCCGTTGATGGCTGGTCAATCTGAATTTAGCATCCGGCTTGTACGACCACTGTGCTGACGTGAATTATCCTCAGTGGTAGACGGATCATAGGTTGGAGTCTCCTTGCTGTCAAACTAGCCGTGAGAGGTTCTCGTGGTCTTCCTCTGCATGCAACGCAAATGTGGATTTGTTCCATCGAAAAGTCCTCCGCGAAAGCGAATTTCTTCCAATACTTGGTCCTGGAGTTCCCTTGTCTTCTGGATTGGGTTCAAAATTGCAAGACTACGTAGTTAAACATTGGTAGTCTTAAACCCAAAAATTGGGTCGGATGTTCAACGACGGTTATAAAAAAAATATTTTTCACTACGTTTAAGCAAATTTTTGCTTCTGTTATTAAGTATAAATTAATATAATAAGTTTACATACTAGGCATAAAAAATAACAATGACCTACTTCTGTTCTGTGCTTTTACTTTGTCAGGCTAACACTAATTTCCTTATGACTTCCATTTAGCTTAGGATTTTGTTTTTCTTTTTTACATATTGTTTTAGTCATCTTGAAGTTTCAGTCCGTCCTGTACCTATCTCAGGCTCAGGTGTACTAGGGCCTTAAATGACGGGTGGATTTGGATCTCCACTGGCGAGCACGACTTCATCTCTACGCTGTTATAAAACCTCGTGCAAAAAAATTTAACGATAAAACAGGAGAAAAAAAAACTTATGCAATATCTTACGTTATCGTAGATTTTCACAATCTATGAACTAATATAATATATAGATTTAAATGAATAGCCCTCTAGTGTGCTAATTTTTTAGTGCCAATTAATTAAATTATGGAATCAGACGCGAAAAGGTGCCATCTTTGGAGAAATATGACTTCATTCAACGGATTTGGATTTTTGACGGGCAAATATGGAGATAGCTGCTATCTAGAAACTATAGCAATAGTGTTAATTTCACTTTTTTTCGTATTTAGCCATAATTCGGGAAGATTTTGAATGAGTCTAAAAGATTTCACTTACTATTATAAAATTTGTTTACTAAATTATTTTAAAAAATTACTTTCAATAGTTCCTTGTATTTTTCATTATCTCATTTAAGAATGTCTAAAAAGTTTTTAATTTGCAAGGTATAGAAATGTGTACTTCATTTTCAACTCTTATTTTGTGCAAAAAGTGTTAATTTTCTCAAATCGTCTCGGTAGCTCAGGAGATAGAGAGCTCGCCTCCCAATGATGTGAGTGGTAGAGGAACCTCAGTTAGAATCCCCTTGCCGTCGGAATAACAGTAGGAGGTTTTCAAGATTTTACTCTCCATGTAACGCAAATGAGGGTAGTTTCATTAAAAATACTCTTATGTCTGAACCAGGAGTTCCTTTGTCTTGTGGGTTGGATTCAAAATTACAAGGTTTCGGAGTTAAATATTGATAGCCGTATTGTTCAACAACGGTTATAAACTGTTTAAAATATCGTAGTATAATTTTTAAAAAAAATTTATATATAAAGAATTGCAAACTTTGAAGACTTGTATTTTTTTTTAAACTAGGCACTTAAAAAATAATCTTCATTAATTTACATTACAGTTTAAATGTGGATATTTGTGCACAGGAGTGATTTTTAAGAACTCCTGTAGTTTTTTATTTTTAAAAGATCTTAGCAGTAATCAATATCTTCATTTTTTCATTAAATGTAAAAGCTGTTACTTTTCTCTCTTTTTACTTTCAAACATGATCGGGAAAAAACAATTAACACTTTTCTGTCAAACAAGTTTTTCAATTATTTCCAAACAGGATTTTAATGCAAAAAATAGAAGAATCTACAACGTAAATCTCAGATATGATTAAAGAGTTTTTATACGTAATATATACGTGATATCGTTCACATTTTGCAGACTGTTTAATGTAAGAAATGTAACAATCCTCCATTTCGCACACCTTTTTAAATGAAGGAAATTATATTAAAATTACAATTCCCCCCATTACAGCAAGTACACATCTTTAATTCATAAAATTATAATTTGTATACTAAAGCAGAAAGTTCCTTGTCTCACCAACTTGAGATTTTCATAAGGCTTTGGTATTATTTGAAGAAAGGGTTATTATAGAAGTTGGGTTGCAAAATTACAAAAGTGAGGAAATATGAAGATCATGAATTATTCACAATTACTTTATTCACTCATCTCCAGGACCAGATTGTTTCAATTTTCCTCAATGGAATTCAGATATACCCTAAAAATGGTGAACAAATGTAAACTCTGTCTGGAACATTAAATAACGAGATTATTAAAAATTGAAAGAAAATGCAATATCTAATATGCAATTTAAAAATATTTGGATTTTCATATAACTAATCCAATTTCTCTTCAATTACATTTTCCGCCAAATGCATTCACCCGTGTTCATCTTGGCATTTTATCTCGAGTTTAAAGATAGGTTTTATTGGCTTGAAACATTTTTGATGCATGAACCAGTAAATATCAATCATGTTTGTTTAACTTATTATATAAGAGTAAAAGGATTTTTTTTCTCTCGTTTCACTTCGCACTTCATTCAAAGGTTTTCATTTAAAGAAACAGGTTTTAAGTGTCAAGAAAGTGGCAGTCAATTAGGTTAAATGGCTATTACTCGAAAGAAAGAGAGTCATTTCTTTGTATACATGCTGTAAATCATAATTCTATAATAAAATTAAAGAAAAAAAAGATGCAGTTAATTAAAGATTTCTTAACCTAGTCTTTTACTTCACCATGCCTTTTGTATGATACGCTTCAAATATATTACTTACTATTTCAAAACAATTTTCATTGAAATTCTCTTAATGGTCTTTTCTTTATTAAAATAAATGTGAGGAAAAAAAACTTTCTTTTAACTTATTTTATGCATAATATTTAGAAATGGTCACAAGTTGGGAAAACACTGGTTAATGAACAAAGCTGTTCAAAAGTTAAACCTAACTTTTTTTCTTTACTTATTTAATTTCTTACTATTTTATTTATTTCATTTCTTGAATACACATAACATCGTTGAAGTTACTCGCAGTATACCTGATTCCGGCTTTACATTAAATTCTGAATTCTATTCCAATGCAGAATAATTAAAATAGATTATTAATGTTAGAAAAATAATTAATTCGAAGGAAATTGAAGAAATAATCTGTTTTTATATTTTATGAATTTTTTTTTTATTTCTATTACGTTACGAATAATTTTTGGGAGCAGTTTAAAAAATATTCTAATATGACATAAAATGTACTGGTATACAAAAAACTAAATATAATCACAAGTATAACAACAAACATTAATTGTCTTGCAACCATTAGTGGATTAAATCCTGCAGTTAAATTAACCCTAGTATATTTTATGTTCTTCAAAATGACCTTTTTATCCTTAAGAGTCCCCTACATGTAAACAGAAAATTAATATGACTTCCTACAAGCTAATCTACGTAAAATTATACGTGCGGAGTTTCTTTATTCAGTAACTAATTAAATTTTTTAAATAACTTTTGTTTCATTTCATTCATTGAAATGTGTTATATTGAACTTCAGTTACCGAACTTAATACATTAATATAATTTTAAATTTTAGGGTTATGGGTATTTTAAAAAACTGGGATAATCTGGTTGGCAGAGGTTGGATTCACGTTCGTGAGACCGTGAGTTCGAATCCAGCCGGCTGAAAACTTTACCTGTAGTAAATGGTGACTGATGCGCGTTATTTATGTTGGGTCACAAAGTCCTCCATGCCTCCATTAAAAAAATTATACATGTGAGGGAACTTAATTGGATATTGATCGTTCTCTGGTTCAGGTCGAAATTGCGATCTTTGAATGAATGAATGGATGCATGAATAGTCCTTCCTATAAACGGGTGTGACGTATGGGTGTCGCAGAAGTCAAATTCTTGGCCAGAGATGGCGGCACTGGAAAACAAGAACAATCGCACCCTCACTGCATTAATTACCTACGACAACAAAAACAGATATTTTTAAAACTCTAGAGTTTGCAAAAGGCTTGAAAGATACCTAACCTAAAAATTGGAAATTCGATTGAAAAGAACAGTAGAACACATTCCAGTGATAAAACGAAATAAAAATTTTACAAAATTATTAATTTTTAACTGAATAAATAAGAATATTCGGAGCAATTCGGAAAATTTTTCGTAGGTTGACATGCAAAAAGTAGAATCATTCTTCCCTCTGAAGGTGACCCTTTTTTTCTACTGCAACAAAACAAAACTAATATTTTCTTCTTCTTTTTTAGAATGTAATATTCTATGAATATTTGCCAGTTTTGTTAATGGAAAATGTAACTGCTTATAAAGGTATGTTTCTATTTTTACAAATCCAATTATTGCGATTTAGATGAATACGTAAATAACACTGGGTAACCTTTTTGTTTTCTATTGCTTGAGATATTTTTTTACTAGAACTTAGTTATAGTCTATCTACGGTAAGAACTCCCCCCGCCACAAAGACTGAGGCCGTCTGCTGCTATGGAAACAAGAATAGTGCATTTCAGGGAGGATAGCTTCTCTTCACTCTAGGGATAAACCAGTAGACCGACAAAAAGATTCTGTTTCCCTCGCCGACCCAAGCCAAAACCTTTCCTAAACACTGACCCTACACTCCTACTTGAAATAGTTATACCTCGTTACCATAGTCACCGCCAAGGCTCCAGACAAATGGCTAGAGGAGTTTTTACTGTAGACAAACTATACTTTTGTTTCACAAACAANTTTCTCAATCATCACTAGATACAGTGACTAATAGAAAATAAACTGTTGGATTATTTCAAAAATTGTTTTTTACTTCAAAACTAAAGTGGCACTTTTCTTTGTTTTAGGAAATGAAAAAAAAATTTTAAAAAAATAAAAAATACCACATTTTAAAAAAATACTACGAAAAATACCATACCCCTTTTTTTGGTGAAAAAATACTACTGTAGTATTAAAAATACTACGTCTGGCAACCCTTACTATGAATTTCTTGTTTTTCAGTGTTACCAACAAATATCGAAAGAAGAAGAATAATTTAATTTTTATTTCAAAGTTTATGTAAAAAAATATTGATAAAAGGTGGACTTATTCACAATGGCTTCTGAAATTATTATATAATATATTCAGAAGCTATTAAAAAAATTGCTGTCTAACATAGAAAAAAGTAACCAACGAGTAAATCCTTTAATAACTAAGAAGATTATTATTTATTTCATCAAAATTGCCAAAAATCAGAAAATATCAAAAAATGGACTGGCATTGGCTTCTGAGCGGCTCATATAACAGGGTGGCTGGTAGATGCAAATTACGCTCTCGGCTCGCACCGCCCACGGTACTGACGTAAAATATTCTCAGTGATAGACAAATCGTGACTTAGAATACTTTGCCGTCAGGTTTTTTGAGGTTTTCCTCTCCATGCAACGCAAATGCGGATTAGTTCCATCGAAAAGTCCTCCATGGAAGCAAATTTCTCTTAATACTTGTTCCAGGAGTTCCCTTGTCTTCTAGATTGAGTTCAAAATTACAAGAATACGTAGTTGAACATGAGTAGCCGTAAATGGGTCGGTTCGGGAGGCTGTTCAACGACGGTTATAAAATAAAATATATGATACAGGGGGTCGCGTAAATGTGCGAAAAGTTTCTAGGAGAGTCAAGGTGCATCATCAGGATTAAAATTGCGTAGGAACCCATCCCAGAAATATCGTCATACGTCGCAAGGGTGTTTTTCTGTTATCAACCAGCTCTTTTACTGCTTCTGAACAGGTCATAACAGGGAAGTGGCCTTCACCGCGTATGACGACGCTTCTCGGCGTGAGTTCCTAATGCAATTATAATCCTGGTAATGTCCTCTAACTCCCCTGGAAGTTTATCGTAACATTTGCGTGATTCCCTCTATATGTATAACGTTTTTAAACTCGTGCATTTCGACAAAACAGATTAAAAATGTCATTAAAAAAGCAATCTCTTGTTTTGGGAGCAAAACTAATTTCAGATTTTAAGTAGCCACACCCGAATTAGGCAAGATCAAGCTTTTGTATAAATGTAGTAAAAAATTTGTTTAACTCTTAACAGTGTAATCTTTTTTTATCAACAATTTTGATAAGAATTAATGTATTCATCCAACATATAATCCAATCTTAGCTCTTTCTTTATTTTAATTTGATTGAACACTGCGTTTGTGGTCCTTTTTTTAAGGTTATCAAGCAGATCTCCACCCAGGTGTTAGCCACGTTTTTCAATCAGCAGCTTTTCGCTTTGGACATACACTGATTCCTCCAGGGATTTACAAAAGGTTACAGTAATTATTTGTATTTTCTTTTTAATAAATCTTATTAACGTACATTATGCTGATTCACCAACTAGTATTCTTGTTAAAATTCAATTCTACCAACATTGAATAAGTATCAGTGCAGTTTTTAGGTTTTAACTAAATAATTTTTTTTCAAATATTATGGCAAGTTTATTACCTCAATTAAAATTCATGTTTTAAAATTTCACTTTCTTGGATATTATTTGACCTATTTATTTATTTTCCACTAAAATCCCACTTAGTTATTTTCCACTTAGTTTAGCACTCAAAACTACATAGTTTAACCCATTATAAAGCCAGTCCTACCAGTTTCATTGATTTTTAAATGTCGATGACTGCTGTTTTTCCTCTCATAGTTTGGGAAGCAATATCTGGATAATTTCGGAAAATCGAAAAAAAAACAATGCAGGTTTTTGTTAGGATAAATGTGGGTAACGGTAAAGGTTCGCGCTGAATCAAGAAGAGAAACCAACACGGGGAAGTCGGGTATCTCTTGTTTGTTCGGTTAATCTTTTCTCATCGTGTTAATTTGTAGTTAGTTATAAACATTGAATAAATTAATTTGTTTACTTATAAGCATGGAAGTTTATGGCCAATTTTTTTTTTAATTTGTTGAAATTCTAGAAAATGACTCACTTTCTCGCTAAAAAAAGAACTGAAATATCAAAATTGTTCTTGGTAACAAGTTAAATGAATTTTTATTTTATAACTGAATTTCGATCCCAAAAATATTTTAACGTTATATTACTAGAAAAAAAAGGTCCAATAAATGACTTGATCAAAAGTTTAGAGATCATTATTGGATTCAATATTAAAGAGAAGAATTACTAATAATTATAAATTATCTTTTATACCCAATTATGTTTCAATAACCAGGCTTTGAAATGGTGCTCAAAACAGATTGTCATTTTATACCTTTCCATGTCAAATTGTGATTGTACTACTCAACAGATAATGATACCTGTTCTTTAGGAATGCTGAGTGTGAATTTCGAAAGACGTTATCCGGTTACCCGGCAAAAAGATTGTGCTCCACCTGGTGGGATCCAGACAAAGTAGAAGATGGTATAGAAGAAATCATAATGGGAATGGCATCTCAGATAGCCGAGAAAGAAGACAATGTCATTTGTTCCGACGTCAGAGGTCATATTTAAATTTTGAAAAATGTTTATCAATGAAGTATTAGTTATTAACAAAGCGAATATCGAAATCCCTAATTAATATTCAGAGAAACAACATAATTTAAACATCAGCTCGCAGCTGGTCGTCCCCGCAAGACAGGAAGTTACAAAAAAAATCATTTTTGATGGTTGTTAAAAAATGTTTATAAATTGATAGAGCTCCAATTCTGAGTTATTTAGATTAATTTAAAAAAGGAAAAAATAAAGCTTACAAAAATAAAATACTATACATTTTTGTTTCATAATTACTGCCAAAAGCTAGTATTTCTAAAAAAAAGTATTGATTAATTTTCAGCTATCCCAATTCCAGTTTTCCTAAGGTGTATACGTTACGGTGAATGACCGAAATCAAGAGAATGTCGATTTTCACCGGTGAATGTCGACAATCACATAGTCGCTTTAGTGAACGTCCGAAATATTTGTTATATACGATTTGATATTAATTCATTCCTTGATATTATTATATTTATTCGATATTTTTAAACCTCTTGAGGAAAGATTAGGAGAAACATCAATGTTAGCAGTACCGCTGAAATTCATACTGGGCAATAGGACTTGACCTTAAAAAAACGTTGATGTTGAGCATACCGGACAAATGTATACCGGGCAGTGGCACTTAACTAGAGCTAGTATATATTTCGGACATTTACCAAAGCGACTATGTGATTGTCGACATTCACCGGTGGAAGTCAATAACCACCAATTTCTGTCATTCCCAGTAACATATATGTATATTTCTCTTTTGTAAAAAAGATATTTTTTTAATATTTATTATTGCATTCCGTAAAACATATAAAACATAATTTTCTTCCCAATTCACAATTTTTATTTTAAATAATTAATACTAAAATCTTCTTACCTCTAAAATTAAAAATAAGGCTCATTTTTTTGAATTACTGCAATTTATTAAATTTTTTTTAAAGTGGTTCATTGGTAAAATATAGGCCCTTAAAATTTCTTTAACTGGCCTAGAGATAGAATAAGGTCAGTAGAATTGAGAAAATGGAACCCATTTTTTGAGGGAAAGACACATTGGAAAAAAAGTTTGCTGTAATTTATGAGAATTTTTTTTATGGTTTACAGGTAAACTTCGATTATTTTTGAAATTGCTTAAAATAACCAGGTCCATACAATTAAAAAGGAAGAAACCATTTTAAAGAAGAAAAAAAAAACAAAGTAAAAATATAAAAGTATTCGACCAAATAAAGATTATAAAGGTATAATAACATACTTTAACTGTTTATTTCAAACAGAGATGTAGTATAAGATTGAAAACCGTTCATAATAGTCCAATAAATATTTAAAAAGAATAATTTAAAAATATAAATCATTTAGAGATTTGTTTCAAATACGGCGATTTCAATAATTTATTTTCTTTATTTCCTTGTATTTGCCTTGTATTCTTAGCAACCATATCTCATTGAAGCTCCCTTCAAATAAAAATTATTACTATTCGACATTAATAAAAATTTTATATTCATTTTCAGACAGGCTTTTCGGCTCTTTAGAATTCTCTAGAAGAGATTTAGCTGCTCTAAATGTGATGCGAGGACGAGACAATGGGCTACCTGATTATAACACCGTCCGGAAACACTTTCGATTTCCAGGACTAAGCAACTGGTCTGATATAAATCCTCAACTCATGGAGACTAACCCTCAGGTAATTGCTTCGCTGATTAAAATAATTCTTAAAAACCGCATAAGATATAAGACTAACTGATAAAAATCCAATAATCAAATATATGGCTGATTTTATCCTATAATACTTTTTTAGAGCACAAATATACTTAACTTACTTAGCAAGCACTAGCACTGCAGTGATAATTTAATTTTAATATGACTGATGTGTATAAGTTGTTACACGATCTATCTGTTACGTACAGAAAAAACTCTGTTCAGTATTGAATCGTAATATCGTGTGGCAACAACGTTAATGAGGTGTTAAAATTCACCATGTTTCGATTTTAAGTTGAGTCATGGTCTAATCAAAATTGAGATAGTTTTATTTGCACAACAACATGTTTCAGTTAGAGCCCTGGTTACTGAGATAAAATAGCGCCACTCTATTCCTTGCAATCTTTGTGCCGTTTTCGGTTTTAATTGGTTGCCGATGATCGCATGGGTTAACTACAGACATTTCGTTGACTGGCTTGACCTTTTATAAACAAATTTTCTCATTCTTGTTTGATATTTTAAAGATATTCCGCAGTTGTGTTGATATAGCTGGAAGAGAATATCAAGATAGTCTTGAAAACGCAGGGTTAAATTTTCATCCATAAATTGCGTTTTCATTAAACCTTTTATTACTGTAACATTCATTTTTGTATATAAATTATCAAAGTTGGTAAGCCTAGTCATAATTAGTGCCCATATCCATCCGGTAGAAGGAACTATTTGGTATTTTTTTTTCGGGTAACGCAAATACATTAAAGTTCATTGACAAGACAACTACTACAATAAAAGAAAAAATTAGATAAAAGATGTGGCAAATGAATAGACCAAGTTTAATAGTACTAAATAAGAAATTAAGACACGTATTTTCCTCCCGTGTTCTTGAGAGCGGGTGGAAAAGGGATGACCCAGAGTGGCATGTTATAAATATAAATGAAAGAAAATTATGAAAAAGGTATGTTTAAATGAATTGCTAGAAACAAAAGGCTGAAAGCTTGGTGATGTAGGCTGGATACTTACGGCGCCAAACTGCTTGGCGTTAAGAAAGGAAGCCTAAATTAATAAAAAAGTTGCGTAGGCTTGTTTTCTATATAAGAAACTGAAATAAAATGCGAAAAAAATTAGACACCAGTGATAACTACCATCTAAAACACTATCCGACCAAAAAGTATCCGGACACCCGGTTGTTATGATGGTGGAAACATAATGGTGTGTGGGTGTTTTCCGTGGTTTGGTCTGTGTCCGTTACTTCCTGTGGTTGAAAACATGAACTCTGAGATGTATGTGGATATTCTGGACAATGCTGTCTAGTAATACTTCGGGGAAGGCCCATTTCTTTTCTAGCAGGATAACTGCTTCAATCACACATAGAGGCTTGCACAGACGTGATTTGACGAAATGGGTGTTTCAAAACTGGACTGGCCTTCACAAAGCCCAATATAAACCCCATAGAACACCTTTGGAACGAAGTAGAGGTCTGATTACGTAGCCAGCCAAATAGACCATCATCACTGTGACGGAAGTCAATTCCTGACAAAAACTGGTGGAAAACTCTTCCCAAAAATGTATAGGCTGTCATCGATGCAAAAAGGGGGACCAGCGTCATATTAATATGTGCCCCTGTAAGCTCAAAGTCTATACCACTGGGTGTCCGGATAGGGCATATCTGATTGGCTAATAAACAGTCGTGCCTGATTTACTGTTAAATATTCCTGAACAAAACTTGTCTACGGAAGATAAAATATTGTTTAAAGATTAAAAGCTAAGGTGACTTTACTAAAATACTCAAAAATATGTCATATAACAATTTTTGCATTAAGTCTGCGGACTTTTAAAAAAAATTTGTTTCTTTTTTTAAATCAAGTCTTTGAATAACTTTTTTTTAAACTTGTCTTATGTAGATTTTGGAAGATATTAAAACCCTGTATAAGAACTTCGATGAAATTGATCTCTACATCGGTGGAATGTTAGAAACAGAAGCAGGAAGACCCGGACCTCTCTTCCGGACTATCATCCGGCAACAGTTTGAGAGAATAAGAGATGCCGATCGATTTTGGTTCGAGAATCCAGGGTGAATAATTTTGGTACAAAATTCAGACTCAATAAAGTATTTTCCTTTCACAAAATACTAGTATGCATTCACTGAAATATTTTTAATTACGAATGATTTGAAAGCGAAGTATGTAATGATATCTTAAAACTTTTTGACCCTCTTAAAATAATTATTATTTAATATAAGAATCAACTTGATAAAATGTGTAGGGAGCACAGCAAAAAAAAATATCACTCTGAATAACTTTTTATTTAATGATCGAATTTTCCCGTATTTGGGCTCTATCTTAATGGTTCGGATGGGTGACCTCAAATATACTAATTAAAAAGTTTGTATGATATTTTAAGTTATGAAATCAGACACAAAAACGTACTTCCTCTGAATAAACATGCAATTTTTTGACGAATTCCTGGGAAATCGAATTTTAAAATTTCAGAAGTTTAAAATTCGATTTCTCAATAACTATTCGACCGAGAAATTTTTTCTTCATATGAAATAACATTCTTGAAAATGATGCAAAAATTTGTATACCTCGTAATTTTTTCGATACTATATGATATTAAATATTCGCGAAATTTGCTTACCTTAAATTAGAACACTTACCATGTGTCATCCTTATGAGGATAAGAGATATTTAAACTAATTTTAATTTAAAAAAACCATAGTAATTTCAACAATAGAGGTTTTACAGATAACATATGTTGTAAATGATGTAATATGCTGTAAATGATGGATTGTCTTCACTTACATGATGTTTACAAAGGAGCATTTTACAGCATTAACTGAAAATTTCTCTTGAAACTATTTAATTTATTAGCAATTAAGGGACAAATATGCTATCGGCTTACAAAATTAAAGCATTTTAGCAATCAACTCTTAGGCGCTTAGGGAAAAAAAGAGGAATTTGACAACAATTGTCCTGAATTACTAATTTTGACAAACTGATATCTAGTTAAATAAAGGTGTATAAAAAATACAAAAGTTATGCTATCAAAATTCCAATTAGCGTTGTGATATTCATGAGGTAACTACAAGGGAAGAACCCCGAATCGTTCGTTGCCTCTCTGCTGGAGCAATCACAAAAGTTTCGTAAATGCTGAAACGTTGCCTGAATAATATGAATTGCAGACGTATGTAACTCGCAGAATTTTTACTTCTTTCACATCTGTGATGTGACTTATCACAGATTTGAAAGGATTCGCAATAAATGTGACATACTCCTAAGAGGGTTAAAAAAAAACTTTCAATATTACGCATGATTTCAACACGGTTCCTCATCAAATATTTTCTTTTCTGTCAATCTCATGGAAACTTGAAAAGAATCAGAATGAAATCATACCATTAAAAATCTACAAGACTGTAATGATTGACTTTAATTTATGTGTTAAATATTTTTGTAAAAAAGATGCAAACGAATCAACAAAATTAGTTTATTAGTAAATTGGGAAAGTTGTTAAACTTGAGAGAGAAATTTCTTTACGTTTCTCGCTAACCTGTAAAAAAAAAATCGGATCAAATTACAATATAAAGTGCTGGCACTTTTGGGTGCATTATCTGTAAAATCTATTTATCCATAAAATCCATTTTTATCGTAAAATGTTAAAACATATTTTTACAGTATTCATTCAATTAGAGTGATTCAGTGACTTTACGGTAATTATTACTGTAAAAGTTACTTTAGGTGCCGGTACTTTTTACCGGAATTTGATCCGGATTTTTTTTACATTGAGGTTAACTGATGATCAGGAAGTCAAGCATCCCTGGCTTCGGTCAGTAAGTGGGTGGGTAACCACTTTGATCAGCGTAGGGACTGAGGATGCGCGGTATCGGTCCTCGTTAAACTGTTCCGCCGTAAAGTGCTCGACGTCAAGCGGAGGTCGTCGGGTTACCAAAGCAGGGCAGACATCCCCTCTGCAGACGATCAAAGTTGTGGTGGCATGTCTTCGAATCATCCTCTGGGATGTTTCCCAGACCGTCGTCAATAGCCCATAGTGCGACTCTAGTGCGACGCAAATAAAGTACCTAAGTACCTATCATGATGAATCATTTTTTTTCTTCTTGTTTTAAAGAATCTGCAAGATTTAATTTATGAAATGAAAAATGTTTAACAGGTTTTTATTAGATATTCTAAGAACGTTTAAACTTTTACGCCCCAATATCACATATATCATATATAACGCCAATATTATGTATATATATATGATCATAATATTTCTTATAGCTTTTTAACTTCACAAGGCTTAGTTCCAACTCTTTGCACATTTTCCCATCTCCGTTTTCATGGTTTCTGCAAATATTGTTTTTTTCTCCACTCCAGTATGATCCACTTTCTTACTGAAACCGTGAGGAAGCATGCACTTCCGAAAGCATGGTTTTTGAGAGAGTAAAAGTGTGGAGAGTGGAAAATTGTGTAATCTATTCAATAAGTAACATACAAAGTATATAAAACTGCAAACAGCTCTGAAAATTGACCCACTTGACTTTGAACGAAACATTTAGTTGTTTAAATTAATTTAAAGACGGGCAATTTCATATTAAAATTAATATTTCTAGCAGTGCATTGATTTTGTTTTTGATTTGTTAATAATGACCAGAAGAACCAAACAACTAAAAACGAGGAATCACGATAACAATAAAGTTGATCGTGGTAACCACTGCAGTCTTCAATTATTTTCTAAAATTATTCTTTTCAGTATATCCGTTTTATTTATTTTTTCAATCCAATACTGAAATTTTTTATTTTTTTAGTGTGTTCACGAAAGATGAAGTTGAACAAATAAAGAAAGTAACTTTGAAAGATATAGTCATAAGTACAACAGACATTCCAGAAGGTTCTATACAAAACAGCTTATTCATATGGTCAGAAGGTAAGGTTTTTGCAATTTAATTATTCAGTTTAAAACAAAACCCAATTAAAACTTTTAATTAAATGCTTAAGATTAAATGTATCCAGTTTAATGATTCACTTCCTTTCTCTGAACGTTCCTTTTAATCCCTTTATTCACTCGCTATATCAAAAGTCATTCATATTTATTTACCATGGTGAAGTAATTTTTTTACTGTAAAAATTAAAAACTAAACAAATCAAAATGAACCGCCATGCACAGTGAAATTCTTTTTATCATATTACGTTAAAAAGTACTGGCACCCTGAGTGCAGCTTTCCTAAAATTCATTTTACCGTGTAATCCACTTTTTACCATAAGATCCACTTTTTACCGTAAAATTTCATACTGTAATTTTAAGAGTAGTATTTATTTAAATACAGTGATTCAGTAATTTTATGGCAAATCTTACTGTGAAAATTAAGTTATATCAGATATTTTTTGTTCCATAAAATTTAACGTAAAGAAGTTCTGGCAGTCTGAGTACCGTTACTTTTTTTCGTAATTTTATCCAGAATTTCTCACAGTGTGACAAATATTTTATATATTTACACAAATGAAAAAAAAAGTCTGAGCATATAAAATACATTAGAACAAAAATGAAAAGAAGGAAGAAACGAATGTCATAATGTCGGAAAGTATTAAATGATTATTATTAAAGATAGCTATTAATAGAAGTTTGCTAAAGTAGAAATTCTTTCTCCCCAGATTATACACATTGTAAATAAAATAGGCTCCGCAAGGTTACATGATTTCCCCTCTCTCTTTTTCGCACTTCACCCCCTTCGACAAATCTTTCTTTTGCCTCACGCCTACATATTCAAACTTCTCACTTGCAACCGTGGGGCAAAATCAAGATTTGCCTAAGTCCCACTAAAGGCCTGTTTACACAGTCCAATTTCTTGAATCCGAGAAATTGGACGGATTTCTCTGTTCAAGAAATTGGAAGATTCGTCGACACTATCAAGTTCTTGAATGTCACTGATTCGTTGTTCATATTCAACATTATAAAATAATACTTACATAAGTTTAAAATTACTAAATAAATTCAAATAAAATCATAATGACACAAATAAAACGCAACAGATTAATTTATTTGGACTAAAATATATGAAAACAGACAACAAAATGACATAGTTTGCTGCCTGCTTGTTGACGTCACAAAACCCAAGACGCTGATTGGTTAAGGGATAAAAAAAACTTGGATGGAAAGTAGAACATGCTTTACTATCGTCCAAGAAGTTGGACCAAGTTCTTGGATGATTGTTTACACGATCCAAGCTCAAAGCAAAACAAGTTTCCATCAATATCAAGCAATCTCTGTCCAAAAAATTGGATCGTCTAAACAAGCCTTAACGGAGAGTGTAAAATGAGGATTCGTCCATTTACAAAGAATATATCATAGGATTAGAAACTTATAAAACATGAATGCATTTAAGTCTGTCATCATGCAATAGCAATTTTTTTACTTATTTTATCAGCTGAAAATAAAAGGGAGTGTTTTGTTTACTAAATATAAATAACACATTTGCTTCCACTTCTCGTTATTAGAAATTCATTCACGCAATAGAACCTATTTAACACCATCCACTAATATTTGATTCGATTGAAATACCATCAGCATTACTGAAAGTTTTAGAATGGTTTCTCGTTATATTTACTTGTATTTTTTTTTTAAAAAAAAACTTGTCTGTCGACTAAGAAATTTTAATTGTGACTTTTAATACTTATCATAGGTGATCCTTGCCCGCAACCCATGCAATTAACTGGTGATGCGCTGGAACCCTGCCTAATGTTGCACGGACATGATAGCTTTCACGGAAATGAAGTTGCTTACATTTACTCCTGCCTTATACTTGTTTTTATACCTATAGGTAAGAAGGATATCGTGATTTAAATTATTTTGTATCGCATCGGCATAACTTGGAAGTGTGCAATAGCCTACAGTAGCATACAATATTGGCGTAAGTTATTAAGATTGCATTCGAATTGAAAAAGTGCACAAAAAACGCGTACTGAGTACAAGAAAAAAATCGTCTAAACATACCAAAAATATCAGGTGACCAAAGAGGATCAACACTGAAAAAAATCAATAAAAGAAAAATAGAATGTTAAGCTCTGCGTAGGAAAGTAGCTAATTTATTTTAATCAAAATTTAAAATTCGTCACAAAATTCGCTAATAGATGGCGTATAAAACTATGAAGTAATGCTTTCTGTTTCATGTCAGATCATTTAATACTTGCAAAGGTATCTGTGTAATTTGACCCTCAGACTGCACCACGTTGTTCCTGTGGTTCCAATGGTGATTACTTTGAAAACATGTAATGTGTCCTCGTTCATCATCGCCATCTCTTAACACACTTTCAAACTAATTTTAATTTTTAGCGAAAATAGTTGTCTGATTTAGTAAACATTTATAACTCCTCCTGATTTTCTTTAGTTGAATTTATAAACCCAGTTTTTGTCGAACCGAATATCGAATATCGGCTATCCCAAATAACAGAGAGGATAATACGATGTATCTGATAGCTCAAGAAACTGTTAAGACAGAGTACAGGGTTAATACAGTCTAAAAAAAAGTCTCACAGATAAAGCTAAGATAAAGTCTTAACAAAGACAGATAAAGTCTCACAGCCTATTCATAGAAAATACGCTTGGACGTGAAAATATTTTGAATTATTTTACAATCATTTGTGAAATTATTAATTCATTATTTTATATTTTCGTGAAGGTAGGAACTCTGATGTAGTATCCATATACAACATAATTTAATTAAAAAACTAATTTAAGAAATAAATGTAAGTTTTTGTGAATTAACTGGTTTGTGTTGTAACCATTTTTGCATAAAAGTTTGGAGGAAGAAAAAGAGTTGTAAAAATTTAGGACTCTCTGTTTCTTTCTTTTTTTTTTTTCAAATAAATCAAATTCTAAGTTATAAACAATTAACAAATTAATTTTTTTTGTTCTTAAAATAAAAAAAAATAATTTAAATAGGTTAAGTTATACAAAAGGTTACAATAGATTACACAATAGGTTACGTAAAGCAAAAGTAGTTTTGTTTCAACGGTGGTGAAGCGAGAGGGGACATAAGGGACAGCTGTCCCTAAGCGCAACTTTGGAGGACCGCCAAATTCATATTATATAATTACAAAACAATTAAAGAAAAATAACTATTCAAAATACTCTAACACAATTCAAATCAGTTTAATATTTGACTAAAAAATAATTTTAAGAAATTTCTTGAAAGCATTCTAATTTCTTGCTTACATATTTCTTCTCTCATTCGCATATCTCTTCTAAGTATTGTTGTGCAAACTAATTTAATTCTTTTATGATACGTTAATCTGAAATGTATGCCTAACAATTCTGGTTTTATAAAACTCTAACTTGAATTTCAAAATGTTCCTGAAAAACATGACCCTTTAAATATGATTAGGTGGTTGCAAAAACAGTATTTGTTCCCTAGCGTTGTAAGCCCTACATACTGACCTTAGTTTCAAAGCAAGAAAATCTCGCTATTTTCCGCCTTAACTATATTGTTAATCCTTCATTCAGTAAGCTTTTTCAAGGTTGTTCTTGTTAAAAGTTTCCTGACAATTATAAATCATTGTTACGTATTGTAGCTTTCGTAACTTAGTCTCGTTAACTTGGGGCAAATTATAAGCCTTTAAATTGCAATGCAACTTAATGCGATGTTGACTTTTAGCATGCGCCGGAGCAGGGTATGGCGTGATCAAGCTGCAAAATAGTCGGAAGAGACGTATCAAACTGCAACAAGAAGTGATAGTTGGTAAACATTGCGAAAACCTTGGTAAGTAAATTATTAAGTTACTTATTAACTTTGAAATAAATATGTCATGAAATAAATATGTTTCATAAACATGTTTATGAAAAAAAAGGTTCCCTTTTATCGCTTTATGCCCCCATTATCTGAAGAATTAGTCTATATTTGTGTTTGTACAATTATCAGTTAGAATATTATAGCAGAAAACGTCCTATTTTTGAGAAAAATCATGCCTTTTTTTCAAGTTTCACACCCGGGGGCTTGATATTATTGGCCCATTTTTAAGGGGTGCCGTCAAGGAAATTAGAACTTTGTTTCTTACGACCATGCCAGCATGTACAGTTTCGGATAATGAACGAAACTGTATAGAATAACTTTTAGAAATATGATTAAGTATACATACTGGTCAATAAATTATATTTTGGGCGATTTTCTTTGGGGATCTGTTCTAATGTCTGGGGGGAGTATCTTAATGTGAGACATGTTCTGCAATAGTTTGTCTAAAGTAAGAACTCCCCTAGCCATTCGTCTGGACCCATGGCTGGTATAACTATTTCAAGTTAGGGATGTAGGGTCATTGTGTAGGACAGGTTTTGGCTCGGTCTGGTCGGCGAGAGAAAGTGGATATTTTTCTTTGATCTATTGTGTTAGCCCTAGAACAAAGAGAAGCTACCCTTCCTGAAATGCGCTATTCTTGTTTCCATAGCAGCAGACGGCTTCAGACTTTGTGGCGGGGGGAGTTCTTACCTTAGACAAACTATAGTATAAAAGTTATGCCAATCAATGGTGTTTTTCAAAGCTAAACAAAAAACCATGCAACACTTGGACACATTGGCCAATCAAATTCATCCTAAAATGTTATATTTTTACTCCGAAGATGACGGATACTTCATAGACGAAAATTCAACTGCGAATTGAGTCAGATAGGTACAAAATGGGACCATTGAACGTCACTCTGTATGTTTGGGACACGTTGGTAAGACACATCCGACGACTCTTCCATCTAATTTACATTATCTTGAAGAGTGTGTAACCAATGCATGGTATTCTCTGGACATATATGTCCACCAAGTTGTACAGAATTCTGGAATCAATGCCCTCACGAATAATTCTCAAAAGAATGATTTTGCGCAAAAGAAAATCTCAAAAATATTAATCTAAGCCCTAGTAATAATTTTACCTTGGCCCCAGTTGGGTTCAAAATTGGCTCGATATGAGTCCTATAAAAATATGCCCCGAGGAACTGATATTGGGTTGTCTAGATTCTTTAATATTGTTCCTAGAATGGCCTACATTGGTCAATATTAACGCTAACATCCGCTAAATAATGGATACAAAATATTACGTATATCTGACAATTCTATATAAAGGACCGATATTGGTTGTGAAGTGGCTGTGAAATATCAGGTGAATCGGACAATTCTATATAGGACCAATATCGGAAAAATAAAGGCCCTTTGAACCCTTACTGAGGTAAGATTCATGAATATTGGCCCAATGAGTGTCCAAGTTATTTTGCTGCTAGGATATTCAAAATCATCGGGAGATTTCAAAATCATTGGGTCAGTGTGAGTAGTATTCATAAGCCAGTGTGGGTAGTGTTTGAGAAATTATTTGTTATTTTCTCTCTCTTAATATTTTCAGTCACATAGTCTTAAACTGGGTCAACCTTAATTGCGATTTAAAGTAATAATAAATGTTTATATAGAGTGAAACAAGGTATACCAAAAGGCAGGGCTCGAAAAAACTCAGAAATTTTACCCGTCCCAGAGGACGGCTTGTCCAACAATGTACTCGCCCTCCTTTGAAACTAATCCGTAGCTCCTAAATAAATAAAAATATAATTTTCTCTTATTTATTACAAACATTTATATAAATTGCACAATGAATTAGTAGTTACTAGGATTACATTATACAGTAATAAAAAAAATACTAGGTTACTAACAGTAAACTAGTATTTCTTTTATAAAATAATTTAAAGGACAAAGGTCAATTTATCCGAGGGTACTGTGTTTTTTTAAATTAATCAGATATGACATTTGCCAGTTCTACAATCAAGCCAATGATTTACAGAGGTTTCTGCACAGAAATCTGAAAGGGGTTTTCCAGTTAGGTAGATGTTCATAATTCCATTTAACGCTTCTTGTTTAAGACCAGTACTTACGTACTGGTCTTAAACAAGAAGGCGTAATGTGTGTTTTTTGTAAGTTGATTGCTGAAAAGCCCCTTTCAACCGCTGCAGTACTCCCAGACAGAGAAAACATCAATTCCACCATGTGCAGTATGCTGTATTTCTAGATTAGAGGGTCATTTTAGAAGTGAGGNAAATGTGAAATGTTCTAGGTTCGTAGTTTCAAAAATAGAATCACCTAAACTAATATTTAAATTTTTTACAAATTATGAACGACTGTCATGTTATATTTTTACAAGACTATAATTTCCAGTAACAGTTTTCACGGGGTTCCTACTCAATTTCGGAAAGAAGAAAAAAAATCCCCAACTTTTGACAACAATGAAAGTCCATACTATATTTTATTTATACCTTTGCAGCAAGGCCCCAGTTGGGTTCGAAATTGGCCCGATATGGGTCCCGTAAGGACGTGCACCGAGAGACCGATATTGGGCATACTTTGGCTAAATAATGGATTCAAAATATCGACAATTCTATACAGGGCCAATATTGCAAAAATAAAGGCCCTTTGAACCCTTACTGAGCTAAGATTCATGAGTATTGGCCCAATGAGGGCCCAAGTTATTTTGCTGCTATGATATTCAAAATCATTGGGTCAGTGTGAGTAGTATTCATAGGCCGGTGTGGGTAGTGTTTGAGAAATTATTTGTTATTTTCTCTCTCTTAATATTTTCACTCACATAGTCTTAAACTGGGTCAACCTTAATTGCGATTTAAAGCAATAATAAATGTTTATATAGAGTGAAACAAGGTATACCAAAAGGCAGGGCTCGAAAAAACTCAGAAATTTTACCCGTCCCAGAAGACGGCTTGTCCAACAATGTACCCGTCCTCCTTTGAAACTAATCCTTAGCTTCTAAATAAATAAAAATATAATTTTCTCTTATTTATTACAAACATTTATATAAATTGCACAATGAATTAGTAGTTACTAGGATTACATTATGCAGTAATAAAAGAAATACTAGATTACTAACAGTAAACTAGTATTTCTTTTATAAAATAATTCAAAGGACAAAGGTCAATTTATCCGAGGGAACTGTGTTTTTTTAAATTAATCAGATATGACATTTGCCAGTTCTACAATCAACACAATGATTTACAGAGGTCTCTGCACAGAAATCTGAAAGGGGTTTTCCATTTAGGTAGATGCTCATAATTCCACTTAACGCTTCTTGTTTAAGATCAGTACTTACGTACTGGTCTTAAACAAGAAGGCGTAATGTGTTTTTTTGTAAGTTGATTGCTGAAAAGCCCCTTTCAACCGCTGCAGTATTCCCAGACAGAGAAAACATCAATTCCACCATGTGCAGTATGCTGTATTTCTAGATTAGAGGGTCATTTTAGAAGTGAGGCGGTAGACTCCTGTAAGATAACAAAAATTGAAAATGTATCACCAACATTAACGGGAAAATGACCATCCGCGCGGACGTCAGATTCGAGAAATACGTTATCCGTGGGGAATTTTTGACCGCCGAGGATGGGCGGACGGGCGGTTTTTCGAGCCTTGCCAAAAGGACTATAATTTGACTGATGAAACATTCACATACTTATGTAGCTTTGTAACAACATAAATTATGATTACAATCATCAATTTGACCTGTTTAATTTTTAAGTGCACCCGAAATCATTTCACTAAATGATTTTATTGCAGTTTCTAGACTAATGTATAAAAATTATTTGAAGTCATCCATTAAATAAAACTCTAATGGTATTGTAATGTAATACAAACTTTTTGTTGGGCCATGTTAAGTCAAAGAAGAGAAATGAACGTTCTCTTGTTTATCTTTGCATTGCTTTTTGTAACAGTGTTTCCTGTTATTTTTTGAAGAAGTAAAAGAGTGGCTCCACCATAATCATAAGCGATGTGTGAAAGTTAAGATAGGAACAGATAACTCTTTGTCGACGCTCAACAGAAAAGGGGAGGTACTGAGGAAGATTTTTCTAGAACATCCTCTGCATTTTGAAATCACCGAAGAAACTAGGAAACCAATGCTACTCGTCCGATCCTCCAAGGACCACGATATGGTGAGATTTTAATCAAAATTATACAATTCGCATCTTGTTTTTTCATTTATTTACTTTTTTAAATACTGTGGCAGAATGTGCTTGCAAAGAAAGTATACGTACTGCCTCGAATCACTATTATTTTAATAAAAAAAGAGCCCCAGATAAAAGAAAAACGAACAAAAAATGAAATAAAACCAATCTGGAATTCACAACCTGCTTATTGCAACATAATTTCTTTTAGATCAAAAATTACTGTTTCAACTATTCTAGAGATAGAACTCGTTGACACAGCCGCTTAAGGCGTCGCTCACAATACTGGTTGGAGAGCTCAGGGTAGCTAGTTCGATCCTTGTTGTTGACAAAACAACTTGCATGTATACGCAGCAAGGTGTACGTTAAGTATGTCTTGGCTGAAAATCCTTTCGTTGGTTATGAAGTGGAAGTTTCCAGGGAGGGGTATCAGCACAGGTGCTGTTCGCGTTGTCTAACAAGGGAGTAAATATGAAAGCATGGCACTCTCTTTAAAAAAATAGAGCCCTAAAGATGGGATTAGGTACTTGATGATCAGGGATATAGGTTGGATGATGATGATGATAGGGGTCGTTCAAATGTTAAGTATGCATGCTTTTAAACTTCCCCTTGTTTGTAAAAATAAGCAAAACATAAACTCCCTCACATGCTTATGTAAGTAATTCACAATATCCCCCTCCCCTGATTTTCGCTTTAACTTTATCTTTGAATATTTTATAATATTCTAATTTTAAGATAAAGATCAAATAAACGATGTTAAAGATGCTGTGATATCTGAGTTACATTTTGCAATTTTAAAAATACTTTATCTCTTTAAGGTGAGCCGCATTGGAATTTTCGCTTGCCAGTCACCTGCATCTGTTTGACGCCCTCTTCGATCGAACGTGTGGTTATGTCAGTTTTTCGGTTTTAGTTGCAACACGCTTCTTCTTTGACACTTTCAAAACTGAAACTCTGGTTGTTGTTGTTCGAAAGAACAAAAATAGGCCAGTTAAAAACTTTTAATTTTTGTGCTAAAATAATACTTCTTAATATTTCCTATGAAATCCTCTAAAATGTGTCAATTTTCTCACACACACTTTTACTTCTATTCCTATATCTTCCAACGCCAATCTTCTTTCCTACAGGTACTCCAATTTAGAAACAGAGGAGTTATGTCGAAATTTCTGGAGAAGCTCGAAAAAGACCGGAATGGGCAGATTCAGTTAACCCCTGTCAAGAGGGAATTGATGCTCTCCAATGCTGAGACCAAAGAGAAACGGCAGAAAAAGTTGGAACACTTCTTCAGAGAAGCCTATACTCTGGTATTAAAAACTCATATTACTATGTTTTAAAAATATTTGACCTCTTTTTTTTAATATGACTCATCACTTAACATTGCCTTATTCATCCAACATTTCAAAATGCCACAGCTAAATATTACATTAAAATGGAATGGGCCGTGATGGTACGGAGATAGAGTTTCCCAATGAGGGGACCAAGGTTCGAATCTCAGCGATTGTTGGTCATTTGAATTCCATTCCCGGCTCACATCAATCACAAGCTAGTCTTAAAATATCTTAGGTGACAAACGGACCATATATCAGAATACCCCTTCTGCCGGGCCAACAATGTGAGGTTTTCGTGATATTCCTCTTCCTGTAAAGGAAATATAGGTAGATTCTGTCAAAAAAGTCTCTGCAAAGACTGGTTTGTCCTAATGCCTCCAGTATTTCTCTTGTTTTATGGCTTTTGTTCAAAACTGATAAGGCTACGGAGTTAACCATCATTAGTCGCAAGCCCAAAATTAAATAAAATCGAGTCTCTACAGTACCATTCAAATTTTAAAGAATTAATTAAAAAATAAATAGTGTAATCGTTAATACTCTTTCTTCTTAGATGTGAAGTCAGCTTTTGGCATCAACGTCCATATTTTTTAATAGTCTTATTCTCTTTTCCTGGAGGGCTCAGAGGATATAAAAGAAATAAGTTTGAATCCCTGAGATTTCTAATTAGTATACTACTTTCAGTGAGAAAGCATATAAAATGCTACAACATTAAACGAGTTGAGTAATAAAATTAGGAGCTTTTTACTATTAGAAGCGAAAAGTATTTATTTTGTACTTAGAAGTAACAGTAGAGTTTGTATACTAGTTACTCAGTATGTTATTTTATGCTACTCTTAGTACAAATACTTCTTATAAGGTATTTGTTTCCTTTATATTTAAAAAATCAAAGTTTTTGTAAAATAGAATGAGTACTATAATTTGTTCGTTAATATTGAGCAATACTGTATAGTGTATCTACCACTGCAAAAACATAATTCCAATTCCCTAGTACAGGAGTGGCGAACCTTTATATACCAAAGTGCCATTTTTTCTAAAAAATTGTTTAATGAGGTCATAGACGTACCGTCAAATAAGTTTGACTTCGTGATTATTGGGAAAATAATACTTTGTTTTTAAAATTGCAAGTTTAAAATCTATTTGNTTCCTTTATATTTAAAAAATCAAAGTTTTTGTAAAATAGAATGAGTACTATAATTTGTTCGTTAATATTGAGCAATACTGTATAGTGTATCTACCACTGCAAAAACATAATTCCAATTCCCTAGTACAGGGGTGACACCCTTTATATACCAAAGTGCCATTTTTTCTAAAAAATTGTTTAATGAGGTCAGAGACGTACCGTCAAATAATTTTGACTTCGTGATTATTTGGGAAATAATAATCTAAAATACTATCAACCCAAAACACTTTATTTACAGAGGAAAAAAAAACATTTTGCAATGTCTCAGTTATACGCGTAATCCAACTTAAAGTAACATCAGTGTGACTTCTGTTGTTGCAGATTAGATGACAAATAACTTATATTAGAGGCCGGAATAGTCTGGTCGGTAGGGCGCTGGGCCCATGCCCGAGAGTTCGTGGGTTCGAACGAAGCCGGCCGAAGACTCCCCGTGTAGTAAAATGGTGACTGATGCACATTAAATCTGTCGAGTCGCAAAGTCCTCCACGTTCCCATAACAATTCAATACCTCTGGGGACACTGGATTGGAGATCGATCGTTCTCTGATTCAGGTCAAAATTCTGATCTGTGGATGAATGAATGGATGTATGAATGGGTCCGCCCTATAAACGGGTGAGACGAATGGATGTGGCAGAAGTCGAATTATTGGCCATAGATGGCGCCTCTGGAAAACAAGAACTATCGCACCCCTTTGCCTAAACAGGCATACAAAACCTACCAACCAACTTATATTAGGTTGTAAGATGTTAGTTTAAGCAGGACTGTTAATTTTTTTTCTAGTTATTTATTGTTACCTGTTTTTTATGGTTATTAATTGTATTTTTAGCATTAATTGTGAATTTTTTTTATTAATAATTGTTTATTATTTTGTTTGCTTCTTGTGAATTTTAATTTAATTGCTACATAAACTTCATAGTGCAATAACATTTATGTAATAACAATTCATAGTATAATAACAATTGTGATCGGTGGCGTGCCTAAAATATTGCCCCACGTGCCATAAATGGCACGCGTGCCATTGGTTCGCCATCCCTGCCCTAGTATATAAGACATGTTAACTCGATTCTACGGTGTGGGTACCCTTACATAGATGAAGGTTGACATGGTCGCTAACAACTCACGCCCCACAATACTTTATCACATGCAATTCAGATGGGGGAAAAACTTACACCCAAAAATACTTCTACTAATACAAAATACTTTTTTGAATTACAAAAACCGAATTAGGCATGTATTTTTTTATTAAATCCATAAAAAAATTCATTTTAAATAATTATGGTTTATTTTAAATTTCAATTTATTTCAATTAGAAAAGTTTTCTGTACCTTAATCATTCTTTTTCTGTACGGTTTTACTAGCTTTTCGCAGTCGCATAATCCTAAATAACTACTTTCGTAAACCATGATCACGCATATTGAGTTTGTTTTCAATCTGCAATTTTTGAATTCAGAAAATAATCTAAAATAAAATTTTGATTGATTTGTACATGAATCTGAAATTAAATCATAATAAAATAAAATAAGTGAATACAAAGATCGAGAAACTTTCAATTCTGAGAATATTTACAAACTTTAATGCCCTCGCAAGTCGGTTATTGTTACAAAAATCCATTATACAGGGTCTTTATAATTAAAGTTCCATTTTGAAATGGCTATAAAAATAAAACTACCCGACCAAATGTCATCAAACTTGGTAAATGTCTATAAAAGGTCATGGGATTTTAGTTCCCGCAAAAAAAAAAAATTTAAAAAAGTCAAAAATTCACCATTAGCGGAGAATGGCGCTGTATGCAATAGTGTTAAACAAATGTGAAATATGCAAATTTGTTTTACACGTCATCATGTGACTTTGCAGTTATAAATGTGAGGCGCCTTGTCTGAGCTGTCAGTGTTCTGAGTGGACAATGTCTGTTACCATGCAAGACCGTGCTTTGCTCGTGAAATGTTACTATGAATGCGACAGCAATGAACGGAGGGCTTTACAAAAGTTCCATACTGTAAGAGGAAAACGCCGAGGTCCAGTGACACCGCAAGGTTTACGGCAAATTTACGGTAAAAGCCGTGTAAAACAAATTTACATATTTCACATTTGTTTAACACTATTGCATACAGCGCCATTCTCCGCTGGTGGTGAATTTTTGAACTTTTTTTTTTTTTTTGCGGGAACTAAAATCTCATGACCTCTTATAGACATTTACCAAGTTTGATGACATTTGGTCGGGTAGTTTAATTTTTATAGCCATTTCAAAGTGGAACTTTAATTATAAAGACCCTGTATATTTCCTATTGCTTTTCTGTACAACATAATGTTCAAAATACGGTGTTTACAGACTTTCGGACTACGACCGGGAGAGAAGCGTTACCTGGAAGAGTGCAATGATGTGGTGATGGTGATGAGGACATCCCTCACCCGCAAAGAATTTTCTGAAGCCTTGGGCATGAGATCCGACGCTCTGTTCGTGAAGCGCATGTTCAACTGCATCGACAAAGACAAGAACGGTCAGATCAGCTTTCAAGAATTCTTGGACACTGTCCTTCTCTTCTCCAGAGGTAGGAATTTTTAAGACTATTACTCTAAGAACAAATAAGACTGCAAATTAAAACTTTATAAATTAAAATAATCAGCAAATTGATACCATATTTCAGAAAACTGGAAAGGTGATTCTATCATAAAGGGGTTGCAATCTGTTCATTCTTATAGACCATGGGTTGCCAAACTTTTTTGATCATCGACCCCTATATAATTTTTCGAAATCTCCATCGACCCTAATCAAACTGTTATTATTGTCCAANTCTGTCATAAAACTCTATTAGATACTGTGTTTGTACATTTATTTAATGATTTTAAACATTTATTAAAGTAATAGTACATTGTGTAACAGTAGTCTTATGAAAAATATATTAATGTTGAAATTTAAATACCTTAATATTTATTAAATAATAAGTAATTTTAAATAAGTAGAAATAATAAGTAAAATAACCACAGATTTATTACTTCTTAATCAATGAGATGGGTGTGCTTGGTGTCTTTTTGCAAGGTTCGCTATATTGGGTTCAAAATTGGTCAATTTTATGGCACATATGCATATGACCTATAAACCAGAAGTGCAGAGTTCGTGCCACTGCGCGCTGGTACGTAATTACTTGTTTCACCCTAATAAATATACGTTTATTTATTTATGTTCTATAAAGAAACTGATATTAAGTCAGTTATAAAGAAATTCACAAATTTTACATACTTAATTAGGTATATGTGATTTGCGTATTAAGAACTGTTTTTTCATAGACCTCAATCGACCCTTCCGATTCGGATAGACCCCCATTCGACCCCCTGGCTCAGATCGACCCCCACTTTTGTTAAGTAGACCCCTGGGGGTCTATATAGACCACTTCGGTGACCTCTGTTATAGACAGTGAAAAAAATGCATAGATAAAGCAAATGTTATACGTGGAGCACAAATTAGGAATAAATTCCGGCTTAACCCGTGTAGAGAAGAAGATCCTTGAGGCATCCGAGCATCGCTTCTGAACCACTATATTCTAGTTTTCGCTTAAGTTTGCTCAACATTATACGGCACCCTACATGAAATGTAAATGTAAATCATTTGAAGGTGCAGTTGGTAAAGCAGTCGCTCATTCCGTTGGTAGAGAGATAGGAGTTGTGAATTCAATCTTGACAGCCGGCTAAACACTCTGCTTGTATACTCTGCACGTTAATCCGGTCGTCTTTCTGTAGTTTGGATGTAGGAGTATCAGCTCAAGTGCTGTCTTCGTTTTCTGACTGGTTTTAAAATTATGCGACATTTCTATGATGGACTTTAAAGATAGGGCCCATAAAACAGGGCTTGATCTTGAGCTATGGATGGGTGATGCGTGTACAGCGTGTGAAAGCCACCCTTTGAACTCCAGAAAAAAATTATCCTCCAGACACATTGATGCTAGTCAATAAAAAACGGCTTCAAGTGTAAGCTTTCAAGTAACTTGGGCAAAGCTTAAAACCAAATATTTTGATCTCCTCATACCACAAAATTCTGGAAGATGTTAAGTTTACTTGATCTTAAAAGTTTTTTTCATTGCCGAGTATGGACCATCCATTATAATTCTGCTCAAGCACACAAAACTAAAGGCACTCAAGTATGCCACAAAGTGCATTTTTCTCACTTTATCGGGGAGCACAGTAGCCATTTTATTCACAAGAAATGGTCTAATGATTAGTTTATAGAGACAAAGGTGTGCGCTAAAAGTTTACAGGACTTTAGCATCCTTAAGAAAATATTTATGCAACAAATAGACATGATCCAAAAGAGTTTTAAGATTAGTTCACATTGGAAACGAAGATTTGCGGTAAGACCTCTTGAGACTTTAACGAATATTTGTGCAATGAATAGACACGATCCAATGAAGTTTTATGATTGGGACATATTGGAGACAAATGTTTGCACTAAAACCTTATGGGACTTTAGAATCCTAACGAAAATATTTGAGCGCCAAATAGTCATGATCCAAAAGATGTTTTTGATTGATTCATATTGGAGACAAAAGTTTGCACTAACATTATAAGACTTTAGCATCCTTAAGAAAATATTTATGCAACGAATAGACATGATCCAAAAGAGTTTTAAGATTGGTTCACATTGGAAGCGAAGATTTGCGTTAAGACCTCTTGAAACTTTAACGAATATTTGTGCAATGAATAGACACGATCCAATGAAGTTTTATGATTGGGACATATTGGAGACCAATGTTTGCACTAAAACCTTATGGGACTTTAGTATCCTAACGAAAATATTTGTGCAACGAATAGTGCAAAATAAATTCGTTGACATGTTTTCGGCTCTACATTATAACTTATAAATATATCACCGGTAGTAATATTTTCATGTTTATTTAGAAGTTTGATAGTGATAATTTAATAAGCATTAAAAGCTTGAATTATATGTGTCTAAGTTATGTCTTTTCACCTTGTAATGTTCTTTTTTCGCAATGGGTCAGTATTAAATATTGCATTCCATTCTACTCAATGTGCCGTTTACTTTCATGTTTGCAGGTAAAACTGAGGACAAACTGAGGATAGTATTTGATATGTGCGATGACGATGGTAACGGTGTCATCGACAAACAGGAACTGAGTGACATGCTGCGATCTCTCGTAGACATAGCCAAAACTGAGTCTCTTGGACAGGAGGACGTGCAGGGACTGATAGAAGGGATGTTCTCTTCCTCCAGGCTGCAACACAAGGAGGAACTCAACTATGACGACTTCAAATTCATGATGAGTGAATTTCGCGGAGACTTCATTGCGATCGGTTTAGACTGCAAAGGTAAAAGATTCTCTCATTGAGTCTTATTCCTTATGAAACACGTATACTTTGTATTAANTTACATAGCTGATGAGGGTAACAGCTAACTTTAGTGTAATTTTTTGAGTTTTTCCTTATTTTATAAAAAAGTAAATATCATAAAGTAATAATTATTACTCATAAAGTAATATTAGTTTCCTTATTATAAAGTAAATATCATTCTTTTGACCAGATGAAGTCAACCAATTTTACAACTACAACCATAACAGATTCAAAAAGACATGGCACTCAAATTTTTTTGATGGATAATGCAATGAAAAACTATCAAATATTTACACACTCTTTTGCGTCAGATATCAATGATATAAGCTCTAGAGCAGTGATGGCTCAGAGGATCGAGCGTGAACCGGGTGAGGGGAAATGGGTTTGAATCCCAGAGATGGCTGGTCGATACAAATTCAGCATTCGGCTTGCCCCGACCGCAGTGCTGACGTAAAAATGTCCTCGGTGGAAAACGGATCACTAGTTAGACTCCCCTTGTCGTCAGACTAACCGTGGGTGGCTTTCGTGGTTTTCCTCTTCATGTAACTGATTTACTGGTTAGTTGCATGAAAAAGTCCTCAACGAAGCCATATTTCTCCCAAAACTTGATCCAGGAGTTTTCTTGTCTTATGGGTGGGGTTCAAATTTACAAGCCTACGGAGTTGAACATTAGTAGTCACAAACCCAAAAAAATTAAAATTACTTTTGCTAACCACCGAAATGTCCTTCACAAGTCACGCTTTAATGACCTTTACTTTAAAGACTTAGTTAACTGTTTGCAGCCTTGTTTTCAATAATAATCCATTCGAGCCGAGGTAATTCTGGGGATAAAACGCCCGCTTCCCAATGAAGTGACCTGGATTCGAATCCAAGTGATGGCTGGTCGATACGAATTCCGTATCCGGCTCGCACCGACCACAGTGCTGACTTAAAATGTCCTCATTGATAGACGGATCATCGTTTAGAGTCTCCATGCCGTCAGGCTAACTCAAATGCGCATTAGTTCCATCAAAAAAAGCCCTCCACGAAGGCTAATTGCCCCCAATACTTGATCCAGGAGTTCTTGTGTCTTCTGGATTTAGTTCGAAATTATAAGGTTACGTAGTTGAACATCGGTAGTTGTAAATTAAAAATTAGGTGAACTCTTCAACGGCCGTTATAAAATAATAATCCCTTCATGTTAAATATCACGTCATATTCGCATCGTCGGGTCTAAAACTAAATTAGAAAAGATATTTCATGCTAACGATCTTTTAAGTCGAAATCTGAAGGGAAAAGAAAAAACGATATCGATTTTAAGTGAGTTAAAAAGTATTGACTAAACGTCACGAGAAAAACTGATCTAGTAATGAAAAAAAAATTATTGCAAAACCGTTTCATTTCTAGCATTTCTTATAAAGATAAAATATCCGTAACTGGCAAGACTTGGTAGTTCTTTCCTTCACCCGAAAACATGTTAGAACTCTCGCACAGAACCTGATTCAGTAATGAGAAGAAAAAAAATAATTACAAAACCGTTTCATTTCTAGCATTTCTTATAAAGATAAAATATCCGTAACTGGCAAGACTTGGTAGTTCTTTCCTTCAATCGAAAACATGTTAGAACATGTTTTTACAACAAGTTTTTTTTTCTTTCTTCTTTTTGAGAAAGGCTTCCTGCTGGAGTTTTTTCCGTGAAGGTAGGTCAAAAGAGACAAGATTTTTTGTATATTACCTAGAGCAGGGGTCCCCAACCTTTTTGTACCTAAGAGAAAATACCAGAATATCTGTCGAATGGCGGGCACCATTTAGTTTTTCAAGATAAATTAATAGTTGATATACATAGGTAATAATACACACTACATATAATGCACAAAAATTTATTTAACATATGAATATAATTAGTATTAATATTCTTGTGTAAAATAAATGATCACTAAATTGGTTTCAAAACATACGAAGTATAAAAATTATTTATATAATACAGTCAATGTGGTCTTTGGCATGGCATTTCGCTGGCTAGCGCTTCATAATTGGGAAAATATGATGAAATTCCTGCTCGTAACCAATCGTCAAGGTGTTCATCTGTAATTCGGGATCTATATTTTGATTTTATGATATTATTGTCAAAAACAATGATTCGCACAAGTATGTGGAACCAAGAAACAATTTTATTTTATGTGCTGCTCTTTTTAAGAATGGAATTTATTCCTTCAACTATATTCCAGAATTTCTCATCTGATATAATAATTTTGAAAATAATGTCATTCTGAAGATCCACAATTTCTATCTCCACTTCTTTTCGCTTTACTTGAATAAATTCTGAAGTGTATGTTGCTATTACGGTTACGTTTATTTGGTTGGTGAAAGGATTAACAAAAAAGGTTATCAAAGGCTCGATGATATTAAATTGTTGAAAGTGCTTTTCAAATTAATCTTTAAGCAATTGGAGGTTGATGACAAATGTTGATAAGTCAATTTCACTGTCACCTATAATTTTTTTCATGTTTGGAAAATGCGCAAGAGACTTTATTTTCAAATGTGATATCCACAACCAAGCTTAGCTCTGAACGAGTTTATAGCCTCTATCATTTTTGCTTGTTCTTTCTCTGCAGTTTCAAGTTTAAACTTTTTAGTTTTTCCATTATATCCGTAATGAAAGACAAATCAGCGAGCCAAAGAGGATCTCTTAGTTCTAAAAATTTTTGATTTTTGGCTGCCAGATAATTTTTTATTTCCTCAATTAAATGTTGAAATCTATCAAGTACTTTGCCTTTACTGAGCCAGCATACTTCAGTATGTATTTGCATAGCATAAAATTTGCATTGCATTTAATGGAAAAATGGAAAACTGAAATATTTTATCGTTGGGCACAAGCAGCGGGCGTACCTAGACCGATCGACGGGCGCTATGGTGTCCGCGGTCATAGGGTTGGGGACCCCTGACCTAGAGTATCTCCTCACCAACCCCCGTGTTTGCTTTTTATTTATCATTCAGTGTTTTTTCTTTGTTTTCAAAAGTCAAGATAAAAAAGAGATAATTTTGTTTATAAAATATAGATAATATAATTTTATGTCAGAGCATTTTATTCAGTGAAAGACTATATGGATTTCAAAAAAATAATCACTTGATACATTTGAAAAGAACAATTATTGATACTTAAGAATCTAGAATGTATGACAAAATATGAAATTTTGAATGCAAAGTAAATATATTTGTTGACAATAAATAACGGTAACCTTTATATTAAAATCGGAACGGTTTTGATCAGTCGTAAATGTTTTGGACATTTCATAATTTCGACATAGGCAATACAAGGCAATATCTTATCTCTCACAACGGATATGTAATCATTCTTTAAAACAAACAAAAAATTTCTAAAAAAAGTTTTAAAAAAACACGTAAAAAAGCACTTCAAATTTTAATAACTTTCAAACAAGTTGGAATATTGAGAAGAAAAAAAACAAGCGTCAAATTCATAAAAAATGATGATCATTTCAGCGCATCAACTTTAAACTCCCCAATTACATTTCGGCAGTCTGCAATGTATTTTTTACTACAAGTTTAAAAGTTGGTTATTCTGGAACTAATTATCAAATCTTGAAATATTTTATTTCATTGTATACTCTGCATATTTTTCTACACAATTTTGTAATTTCAAGATTTTAAGTTTTATACATTTTATGCTTTGAAACATAATGCAGCGTAATGTTTAACACTCTAACATACTTATTTATTTCAACTCTATTTATTTATTTATTTTTAGGTGCAAAGCAAAATTTTTTGGACACATCAACTAACGTAGCTAGGTAAGATTATTTTCTTGACTTTAATGAAAAATGACAGTGCTAAAAGAAAAACATAATTTAAGAAAAAACATTTTTTTGCTCGCATAAGAGGATAAGCTATAGCGCGGGAGAAAACGTTTCCTGAAACATTCTGATTGAATTCCAAAACTTAAAGTAGAGAGAAACAAATGAATTCAAGTAAAGACAAAATAAACTGTGACGTTTCAAATTCTCAAAAAATCATTACAAAATTTGCAAACAATTGTGGCAGGATAATTTCGCTTCTGCGTATTCCTGAGTATTCCTTTGAATTTCGAAAAACTGAAAAAGTAGGCATTTGAAACTTTGTGGTTTACTCTTGGTTTAAATAAACTCACAATTTCATACTTCTTTATTTTATTAAATTTGTTTAAAGCGTTTATTGCATTCTCTTAAAAAGGCATCACAGCAAAAGCTGAAGAAAAAAAATTAAAAACAAAATAATTGATTGCAAATTACGGCTTCTTTATACTTTTCTCAGTTTAATTTCCTTAAAATTACGATCAGTTCACGATCATTTAAATGATATAAATTTATCCCTCTATCATAGGATGACCAGTTTCCAGTATCCTCCATTTTCTAAACCTGGTTATTGGACAGGACAATACAACAGTATGGTGACATTTTTGGAGAAATATCGGCAGCACGTCTTCTACCTATTCATATTTTACGTCATCACTTTCGTACTCTTACTCGAAAGGATTCTGTGTGAGTATTGTTATAGAAGCAAACAACTTAAGTGATTTTTTTTAAAAACTTTTTGAACTGATAGGGGAAAAAACAGAGTAAAATTAAAATAAGAAGGAATTGATTAATTCCTCCAACATTTATACATATATCTCTGTGTGTTATTTATGCCACTCTTGCAGTATGTAGGTTTGAATTATTGACATGTAATGGGAATTAAAATATACACTTTATTAATTATTAAAGAAAGGTGTATAGGTGGTTGACAGCCGTGCATGTTACTTTAAATTATACTATAATCCCTACGATTAATACATGATCTCTGAGATCCCTTTAAATAAACTGCTGTTTGTAGAAAATGCAACACCATGAAAGAATCATCAGAATCAAATGAAATTTAATGCAGAAACGACTTGTACTGATACAAATAAATGATGAAATTTTCAAAACAAAAGAAACAAATTAAGCGTCCGAAATCAGTATTTGGTGCAGCCACCACGCGCTGCAATAAGTGCTGCTATACGACGTGGCATGGAGTCAAACAGATGTTGAATATCTGCTTGAGGAAGAGAATTCCATATCGCTTGTATGCGCAACCAAAGTTCGTCTTTGGAAACTGCAGGACGCGGATCACGAGTGAGACGCCGACCAACCATATCCCACACGTGCTCAATAGGCGACATATCCGGCGAATAAGCAGGCCAAGGAAGAAGTTGCATGCGTTGTGCTGAACAGAAGTCTCTAACAGTCCGCGCAACATGTGGGCG